TCAATTTAAAGAGAGCCAATCAAATCGCGCCACGTCATCAAGAAGACTTTGTGTAGGACTCTTATTCTACCACTATAAATAGGGACCCTCCCTACACAATTCAAGACACAACTCAAGAAGAATAAAAACCGTAGTAGAAAATTCTCTCTACAATATTCAAGTCGTTCTTCATCAAATTCAAGGCGTTCTTCCTCAAATCGAAGGAGTTCATCAAATCGAAGGTGTTCTTCATCAAATCAAGGCGTTAAAGCGTTTAATTCGAGATTACGGTGCTAAACCCTCGAATTAACGTTATTAACATCAAATCAAGATCGAAGGAAGATTGAAGGGCCAAATCCATCAAGAACTCCAAGATCTTCAAGTCAAAATCCGTCAAAGTTCAGCGTTCGATCCGAGATTCAAGTCGCAAGACCCTCGGAAGACGTTATTCAAATCCAAATCAAATCCGGAGAAGATCAAGTCAACGACTCGTCTCCGAAATTCAAAGTCAATCATATATTTTTCTTGAGAGAATAATCAGAGGATTAAATTAGAGTTTGTAACCCGCAATATTTTATTTTAATCCAATAAATTTATATTTGTGCAAGTTTTTCTTGTTTGTCTAAATCGCAGATAAGAATTTGTTGCTACACCGCCGCCTCAGGTTTGGATAAGCAATTTCTTGGGTCTATAATGGAACGCGCATTTTTTTCTTTTTTTTGTGGGAAACAGTTTTGGAACGCGTATTTTTTTCTTTGTTGTGGGAAACAATTCAGTTTATCAGTTCTTTGGTAGTGGTTTTGATTATTGACTCAGTTTTGTGATAAAAGTGGCCGGAATTCTGACGTTTCTGGAATTCCGTTGTAATCTTAGCTTGTTGGAGGTGTTTTGTTTTGAGATAAAAGTGGCCGGAATTCTGACGTTTCTGGAATTGTTGGAATTCTGACGTTTCTTCAATTTCTGAGATCATTGATATCTTTTTAATTCTTCAATTTCTAAGATCACTGATATCTTTTTAATTGCCGATTTGATCCGAAATTTGGGTTACATTTTTGTAGATTATCAAATACCTTAATTATCGTTTAGTTAGAATTTTTCTTCGTTTTGCAGTTCTTATAATCGAGAAAAACAGCGGTGTTCAGAAAAAAAACATGGTTAGTGGAGGTTTCTTTTCCCTTTCGCCTTTTTTTTTCTTTTTCTTTTTTCGGGAAGTTTTTGTTCACACTTATTTTTACTAATAAATCTTTACGTGTTTTTCAGACTCAAGAAATTTGGAACGATATTAGATTAGACACAAGTTCTTATCTATTTTATCGAAACCTTTTGGCTGACCCGTTATCGAATTGAATAACTTGAAAGCCGACTTCGCGAAAAAAACGGACGAACCAAAGAAGTTGGCAAAAAATAAAGCAAAAATTCTGAGACTCTGGAAGCAGGCCGATGACAATGAAGAAACACAGAGTGAACCGACTTATTTACTAGTAAATATGTCGAGATCCAAGTAGAGGAGAGTGAACCGACTTATTTACTAGTAATTACGTCGAGATCCAAGTAGAGGAGTTGATGAAGGAAACACAAGTCGAACGTAAGAAGATAAGAAAGTACTTTTATTGCTTAAGTGCTTCGATGTTGGATTTTTGTTGGATGATTACAAACGAAGATCATACCCCTATTTATACTAAACCACCTCCTTAATGGACGGTGGAGATCTATTTGATCAAACGGCTAGGAGTCGTTCACTAGAACACTCCAAAATATAGTGAACAACTCCAAAATATTCCTACAAAATATCTACAAGGGAGGGTTGTAGAAAGCTTTCTAGAATCCTCCAAGAATCTTTACTTATATCTATACATTTGAACCAACTTGGGTCATAACCCTATTTGGGCTAAGTTTTAGGCTTCTTAACCTCCCAAACCAAGGGAAACTGGCAAAGGGTTGGGCCAAACTAACGGGTCGTGACAAGATACTAAATACTAACTATAAAAACGAGCAGAATACAAATAAATCCATAAAATGATAAATCAACTGTCATACATGAATTCATCAACTAAACGAGCATAATACAAATCGATCCTTAAAATATTAAGTTTGACCTATAAGAATGTACGTGTAAGAAAATTCATAGTTGATGGAGTAATTATAATTATCCAAACATGAGAGTCTTTTCGTAATTTGACCTTATCTTAAGGGTAGCCGTAATTTACCCTACTTGTTAGTTGTTACCACTAAGGTAGTGATGCGGTTGGGTTTTTCCACTTCGAGGAATCTCGAATCTTTAACTCCGTTCTATGTTAGGCCTGTTCGTCGCGGGCCTGCAAAAGGGACCGGGAGAGGTGCTCCCGGCGTTAGCACTCCGACGCCCAAGTTAGAACACCTCAAAGATTCGGAGATAAATATATTCGAGAGAAAATAGTGTGTTAAGATCAAGAATACTCACCTTAAGGTTTACGAACTTTCTATTTATAGGAGAGGCTTTTCGGATCCCATTGCTTTCATCCAATTCGATTAAGGGAATTATTTCAAGTCCATGACAATAAGTCTTAGTAGTTAAGTTATGAAGATATTTTCTATTCTTAGTGTCTAAGTTATGAGGTGGCATCTTTATTTCGTCGCTCGGGGTTCGCAACTCTGCGCTCGGCGTTCGGTGCTTTATGGCTCGTCGACTCGGCGCTTGGCGCTTGGGGCTCGGCAGTTGGCACTTGGCACTCATGAGCTATCTTTAGCTCGTTTAGTGGTCTCCAACTTGTCGGGGGTCTCGTAGTTCGTCTCTACTGGATAATGTATTATATTCTTTGGGTCTTAGATTTGTGGGCTTAATGTTTTGGGCTATTTATAAAGATCCGATAAAATGGGCAAATAAGTCCGGGTCTCATGTGGTCTTAGAACCTTCTTCGAGCGTGGGCCAACTCTGTTGAGCCTTACTTTATTGGGCCATGTAAATCTGTCCGGATCAGGTAGTTAGCTCCAAAGTAATTAACACATCTAGGGTATTTCATATCACTCCTGAATAATTACATTCTTGTATAAGGATAATGATATTTGTAGTTATTAAATCATTAAAATAAAATAAAAAGTAAGAGTTAATTGCAAATATCATCCCTGCGAAATTGCTAATTGTCAAATATCCTCCTGTCAAAAAAATATTCACCTATGACCCCCTATGCAATACAAGTCAAGGTATCTAGGCCCCTCGGAGAAAATCGTATCCCTCACGTGCTGATGCTGTGAATTTTTCTCCCTTTTTGCATGGGAAATGTCAGATACACCCCCACCCAAGCCTTTTTTTCTTTTTCTTTTTTTCTTATTTGTTTTCCTTCTTTTTCTTTCCTCTCCTTCCTTCTTCAGCTTCCTCAAACCCATTCCGTCAAACATGTATCTCATTCCTTCTTCATCTTTCTCAAACCCACCCCTATCAAACATGTAGAAAAATCTTCTTGTAGAACCCATAGCCTGATAAATCTATAGAAACCAGTGACATAAGTGCTTTCTCGCCTCTGCAACTCTAAGGATGACCGTTGCCGCCGCACCGGTCGCACCACCCACCGCCGCGGCATGGCGACGACCTCAATTGTGAGAAAATCGTTCAATCCTCCATTTTTTAGAAGATCTTAGTAGATTTAGAGGAAGAAATGGAGAGAAAATAATGTTAATATAACCTAATTTTAGGTCCAATTTTATTTTTTCATCAGGCCACTAAGATGAGTGGATTAACTGTATTCAAAATGTGAACTTTAGAATGTACTGTGTCCATTGTTGAATTTTTTTGCTTGGAGTTTGTGCGGCGGAATGTACTCTTTTTTTTAATAGTTTTTTCAAGTTTAAACGAAAAATTCAAAATATTATAATAATAATAATAATAGTTAATATAGGAAAACCGTTAGTTTTAATGTGATTTGACAGTTTTGCCCCCAAAATCTTCTTCTTCCTCCCTTCTTCTCCATCTTCCTTCTCCATAATGTTTTATTTTTTTTCTTTTTTCTTTTCCCCATTGCCGAACATGTAGAAATTGATGTGAAGTTTGGTGGGCTGGAAATTTAATTTCAACATTGGCAATTCACCCTTTCTTCACACACACACAGAGTAGAGTCAACCGTTACATAGAAGCCAAAGTTTCTCAACCAATCTTCCATGCCATTTTTTTTTTTACTATACCAAGTTTCAATTACATGTGTGGTATGAGTGTTTCTTTTTTTTAATAATGAGTATTTAACAATTAGAGATTTCACATATATGCTATTTGCAATTAACCCTAAAAAGTAAACAAAAATTTAAAACATTTATATTTAAATTTTTACAATGTTACGTATCCTTTCAAGGCAGGCATCACCTACATTGGTTAAATTATAACAAACTTATTGTTACAGGTTGATCTCAATTTCCGGGCATGTTTTTTGGCAAGAAACGGTGTCATTGCCCCCCGTTCGTCTCATCGGATTTTTCCCTAATCTAAATATAACTCTATAATAATAATCCTAATGGTGTTATTTGTAATTGACACATGTCAATTTGTGATTGAATATTTAGGTTGTTAAATTTTTGATAACTCAATTTTCAGCCCATTTTACTATTACTACATTCTTAATTATAATTAACATGAGTTTATAATGGGGCCCATTTTAATAATGATTAAAGTCCCACTAACGTAATTAAGGCCCTTTGGCCCATTTCAATTGACAATTATTGAAAAAGAATCTCAATTTGAAGCACGTGTTTGATGTTTCGTCCATATTATTATTATTTGTTTTTCCTTCTTTTCCGCAGGGGCCCGGGCCACCGTTTCTTTTGTGTGCAAGTACCCCGGCCCCACTCTATTTTTTCCTGCTCTCTCAATTTCTTAAAAATATCCTTTTCACCCCCAAATACTTTGATGTATCGATATTTCACCCCTCAAATCTTATAGTATAATCGAATGTTCTAGCATGCTATTTCCATTAGCAATTTTCACGTGCTTATTGCATCCATTAAAAAACATGTTTACTTTTAAATTCCCCATAAAAGATAAGCCTTTCCTTTACTCTTAAATAACACACGCATCAATTCATAATTCCAGTTGCAAAATAAAAGATCTGCAGAGAATTAACACACAGTCAGTGTGTGTGTGTGTTTTTTTTTTTGGTTGAACATATATATATACATGTCGAGTTCAAGGAATTTTCCCGATGGCCGGCGGCGAGAGAAGGCGGCGCCGGAGAAGACGAATTTCGCACAAACTTGCAATCTTGTAAGCCGTTATATCAAGGAAAAAGGTAGTCTCAGAGATTTGAACTTCGAAATTGGTGGTAAAGTGGAGAGCCTCGAAGATTTAGGTAAACAAAATTTTTTTTCCAGCTGTCTTAAGAACAAATTTCCTTGTTTTATTGTGTGTACAGTTTTTGTAATAGCTAAGATGGGGAAGTGATATGTTACACCGGGTATTTGTTAACCGCAGATGAGGTTAAATAACTGACCACTAAACACACATACATATGGGTGTGTGGGATTATGTGCAGATCTACGCGGGTTAACAGTCACCTGATGTTAATAACCGGGTGTAAATTATAGAATTTTCCCGATAAGATGTAGACGGAAATCTAGATAGATCTGTAGAATCTTGGAATAGTTTCCATTATGAAAAAGCTAATCCAGATTGGAGTAGATTTTCATTTTAGGAATGTAATTTGTAATGTTTGTTTATGTTTTGGTGGAATAATTTTTCTAGTACCAGTCAAATCATGTTTGAAATTTTCAATTTTCCGAATCAAAAGCTAACCAAACATTAAAAAAGAATCACTCTTTTCCGATTCTTCACTTTCGAGCTAATGAATCTACGTTTTTTCGTTAGTTTCGGTGAAGCCTGCTGCATCAGCTTCTACAACGAACGTACTTCCAAATAAGGGAAAATCGGCTCAGCCTTCATCGGAAAAGCATACATCTTTGCGTTCTTCGATTATAATTGTGGAAGACGACTCCAACGAAGCTAGCACAAGGTATATTTTTTTTAAACTTATTTAATAACATAAAAAATAGTTTAAGGGCTTATTACTAATAATACAGAATTTTAGAATCTTGTTTCCTGATTGGTTTTTCAGCAGAGAGGAAACAAGAAAGGTGGCCAAGAATGCACAGTTGACCATTTTCTACTCCGGAAAAGTATTGGTATTCGATGATTACTCCGTCGACAATATTCGAGAACTTGTGTCGGTTGCTAAGAAGGGTAGCTCCAAAATGTCCTACGGCATTTTGTCGACAAACACCTTGCAACAAAAACCGAACCCCGGCAGTTTGAGAGAGGGGCTTCCGCCGAGGCCTCAAGCTGGCAATTCGTTGAACATTTGCAAGGAGAAGATAAATTCTACCGCCGATCGTGACGTGGCATCGACTTCGATATCAAACGAACAACTTTCCACACAATCTGATGCTAATGGTTCTGGTATTTGATACTTCATTATTGTAGGAAAAAAAAAAACTTTGAATTTTCGGATTGTATTAATTAATTATTTATTTATTTATATATTTATTTTTGTTTTTGTTGCAGATTTGCCAATTGCAAGAAGATCATCAGTTCATAGGTTCATGGAGAAGAGGAAAGAAAGGTATAATTTAAAAAAAACAAAAAAAACATGTATATTTTATCGATCTCAAAGTATTTTATTTTATTTTTAAATTTATTTTATTTTATCTGACATTATTTTTATTTTGCATGTTTATTGTTAAAAGGGCTGTTATGAGGGGACCTTATCAAAATCAAGAACAACGGCCTACTTCTTCTTCAAAGGGTGATCAACAATTTGATCTCAATACTTAGCCATTTACTTCTGCACTGCAATAAAAGATTAGGGTTTATATTAATTGTTGTATCATGTATGATTTTCATTTTTCATATTTTTCATTGGGAAATCTCTTGCAAGTGATGTTTAATTTACGGAATTTCTTATTCTCGTGAAATAGTCCGTAAACCACATAAAAGATGTAAACTGTAATCAACAAACTCAAGTTGCAAAATACCGCGTCACCTTACTTCACCAATTAAGCCACGTTTAAGGGCGAAATATAATTTCATTATCAAACAACAGACCTATGGATCCAATGGAACGAGAACTAGTGAAACCGTTCAATCAATAAACGGGCATCAATTTTTTTATTTTGTTTTTGTTCCTCAAGGGATGATCTACCGCCTGGAGCAAGCGAACCTGTGTTAATTGACCCAAATTCGAATTGATCATTTGTCAACAACTGCTAAGTGGAGCTTGTCACACATGGTTAGCCTAGTGTAGTTTACGTCTCTCGTATGATTTGTAAGCTATATTACACGCGAATAACCATACCCATATTTTAAAATTCAAATGATTTAAGAGACATAATATTATGATCAATTTCTAAGACTCGAACCTCTAAAAACAATTTATTTAAATAACAAATTCTAAAAATATTAAAACGTGATTAATTCATTAAACACTTAAGAAAATATTAAATTGGCCCACAGAAAAATGGGCCTACTTGAATTTAGCCCTCAAATTATTATCAATTAACGAAGTACGACCCGGTAAAAGCTCGTCTATAAATCACCCCAACAATTTTACAATGCCAATAAATTCCCTCCTTTTCGGCCACTGCTCTCTTTCATTTTTTTTTCTGTCGTTTTCTTTTTTGTCTTTTTTTTTTTCTTTTTTTTTTCCTTTTTTTTTTTTTCCTTTCTTCCCCGTTTTACCATTTTTTCTTTCTACAAACCCTAATATTTCGATAATTTTATCGAGATCGAATCATATTACCTGCGAGAATCAACCAAAAAAATAAAAAAAATGCAGAATCAGAGGCTGAAGCAGCAGCAACATCAAGCTCTGATGCAGCAGGCTCTTCTCCAACAACAGTCTCTCTATCACCCCGGTCTTTTAGCAGCTCCCCAGGTTTGTTTTTTTTTTTTTTCGCGAATTCATTTTTGCTTATTTGAAGTACATCGGTAATTGATTATTTGCTGTTGTTTCATTCATTTTCGTGATAGCGATCTTCTTCTGTATTTCTCGCTATTGTCGTGTTTTTTCCGCTTAAATTCAGAGATTTAATTTAAGTTTGTGGTGGCTGTTAGCCAGATTTTCTGCTTATTCAGGATTTCATGTTCCGCCTCGATAGGTTTTCGGTTGGTTGACTGTAGATTGGGTGTTCTAACTACGTGGCTCGTTAATTTAAGAATATTCGTGCATTTTGTTTGTTTGATAATACAATGGGCAATTTTTGAAACTGTTGAATTTTGTGTTTTGCTGTTCTTTGTTATATTTGGAAGCTTTGTTCTAGGTTTATTATATTTTGGAAACTTTTTTATTGAATTTTCTTACACATGAACACGAGTCACCCAAGTACATGTGCTGCAATCCTAAATAATTGAACTTGAGAAGGAAGTAGTAGTTAAATTCTACTACTCTGTAGTTTTCCGTGTTTGGGGAATTAAGTGATAAAGGAACTTATTGGATTTCTTCCTTATGGTATGGTAGTATTCTAGAAGTTTTTCATATGCTAGCTGCTTTAGTTTGTTAGAAATAGAATAAAATCCACATTTCATTCTTCTGTTTCTTTTAATGTTGCCATTATGGCATTCCAACGCACCCACATTGTGGCTTCGTTTTCCTTTTTCCTTTCTCTTCGAGCTTTACCCTTAGGTGGATGGTTGATATCGGCAGATAACTTGGAAGTTTTTTTTTTATTTCTTTATTTTTTATTTTTTTATTTTTTTTTCTGTCCGCCTTCTCATTTTGCAGATTGAGCCTATTCCAAGTGGAAATCTTCCTCCTGGTTTTGATCCAAGTACATGCCGCAGTGTGTGAGTGTTTAGAGATTTTCTTTTTGAACTTTTTTGTTTTTTCCTTTTTTTCATGGCATGCTTGCTTAGCTTGCACATTTGTGCAATATTTCTTTCCATCTTCTTGTTTATAGTTAATAAGAATGTGTCTTTACACGATTAGTTCTGTTCCACTTCATTGTCCTTCCATCTTGTGATATTAAAAGTTTGTTGTGCTCATGCTTGTGATATCATTTTGTATTGTCTTGAGGAGTTTCGCTGAAAAAATTATCTGATACTTCTTGTTTTACCTTTCCTTTTAAACTTATAGGCGTTTTGCTTTTTATGCAGATATGTCGGGAATGTTCACACACAGGTGACGGAAATACTTCTTCAAGAAGTTTTTGCTAGCACTGGGCCTGTGGAGGCCTGCAAGCTTATTAGAAAAGAAAAGGTGCAGTAATTCTAAACTGTCCTTTTTCTCCATTAATATTTATCGACATATGGTTTCCGATTATGTCCCCTGTGAAAATGTTGACATTTATACCCTTTTTGCTACGTGCAGTCATCATATGGATTTATCCATTACTTCGACCGTAGATCAGCTGCCCTTGCAATAGTGTCCCTCAATGGAAGGCATCTGTAAGTGGTATTTGTTGAAGATTTGCTGTTAAAGTTGTTGTTTCATTTTGAACTGTAACATATTTTGTGATATTCAGATTTGGCCAACCTATTAAAGTTAACTGGGCATATGCCAGTGGTCAAAGAGAGGATACGTCAGGTTGTTTAACTTTTAATATTTTCATACTCCCAATTTATGTTGGCTTTAGCATATATCATCTTTTACCGGCAATTGTCTCTTGCCTCTCTTATGAAAGTTTCTACCCCTTGTTTAGGCCACTTCAACATTTTTGTTGGTGATCTCAGTCCCGAGGTCACTGATGCCATGTTGTTTGCGTGCTTTTCCGTCTACCCTGGTTGCTCGTAAGTCTCTCTCTCTCTCTCTCTCTCTCTCTCTCTCTCTCTCTCTCTCTCTCTCTCTCTCTCACACACACACACACACACACACACCCAGAAAAACCCGGACCGGAAATACAAAGTCATGAGTTTGTCAAAGTAATTGTTCAAGTGTTATATTGTACTAAAGTGTAGTGTTAGTATGTGCTGATTGTCTATGTACTGGTCTTAGTGATGCGAGGGTTATGTGGGATCAAAAGACTGGGCGATCCAGGGGATTTGGATTCGTGTCTTTCCGAAACCAGCAGGTATATTTTTATGCCTTCTCTCTGAATCATAATCCAAACAATAATTTCCCTTGCCTGAATCCTTTTGGAAATCTTTTACAGGATGCTCAAAGTGCAATTAATGATTTAACTGGTGAGAACATCTCTGATTAATTTCTTTGAAAACATTTCTTTTAATGATTCACGAAAATGTCGTATTACTTGCTCTGGTTTGTTAAACGAGGAAATAATATTTTACATGGTATTTGGTAACTTGTCAGGTAAGTGGCTTGGCAGCAGGCAAATACGTTGCAACTGGGCTGCGAAAGGTGCCGGAACCAGTGATGACAACCAGAACTCAGATTCTAAAAGTGTTGTCGAACTTACAAATGGCTCCTCAGGTCAGTATGTTTGTAATAAAAACCCCGAGTAAATTAACATTAAGAAATGATGAAGTGTAAAATTAAATGAAAAGAATATAGTTGTAGTCATAACTAATGTCAACTCAGATAACTAATGTTTGTACACACTTTTCTTTTACAGAAGACGGTAAAGAGGCAGCAAGTAGTGATTCTGCTCCTGAGAATAATCCTCAATACACCACTGTCTATGTCGGCAATCTTCCTCCAGATGTAATCCAAACCGCCTTTCTCTCTCTTGTACAGAACATTTCTTTTATGTCTGTTTTGTTGGTTTCTGGAGTATGTTGTAAAATTAAATCGGAGAATTTTACTTGAATTGATGTGTTCTTTTTATAAGGAACTAATCTGAGTATTGTTGGTACAGATTTTTATAAAACTTTCTCGTCTTTGTTTTTTTTTGCCAGGTAACACAGGCTGACCTCCATCGACATTTCCACACACTTGGCGCAGGATCGATTGAAGAAGTTAGGGTCCAACGAGACAAAGGTTTTGGCTTTGTCAGGTACAGCACACACGCTGAGGCTGCTATGGCTATTTCAATCGGAAATACCCAGTCATCATATCTCTCCGGCAAACAAATCAAGGTTTGTTTCTATATTTTTTCCCCAAATTTTCAGACGTAAATCTTAAATTAGCTATTTATGATAAATTGATAAATTTATTAAACCTGGTCTATTACAGTGCTCGTGGGGAAACAAGCCGACCCCACCTGGAACAAGCTCAAATCCGCTGCCGCCACCTGTACCGGCATCTATGCCGGGGCTTTCTACGGCAGAGCTGCTAGCATACGAGCGGCAACTTGCGATGAGTAAAATGGGCGGCATTCACCCGCTAATGGGCGGCATGCACCCACAGGGGCAGCATGCTCTCAAGCAAGTGTCGATGGGAATGGGTGGTGCTGGTGCCAGCCAAGCTATTTACGATGTCGGTTATCAGAATCTTGCTGCCGCTCAGCAACTCATGTACTATCAGTAATTTATTACGGACTTTGTGAGAATTTCGACTGTTGGATTTTTTCACTTGATGCTCCCGTTTGAGTTTTTTTTTCTTTCTCCGAAGTTTGTAGGATAATTTGTAAGGTTTTTTGTTTTTCGCATTGTTTATCGACTGAATATGTATGTCGTCGCCCCCTATGTATTTTACACGTTCTTTGTATGCTTCTTTTCTTCGTGTTCGGATTAGAGTAAACTGTGGTTTCGTTTGAGTTATATGACATATACGTGGGATAATTTATCGACCAATGGGAAGCAAACCAATTCGTTAAGTTTCGAACGCGTGCAATGTTATACATAAAAATATGAAATAGTTATTGTTAAATTGTCGATCTAAACACTCCTGAATCTCCTCTCTGCATATATATTATATTGTTACATTGTTACATTACACGGTAAACTACGGCCATTTAAGGTAAGGTCATATTACGAAAAAACATCTCATGTTTAAGTTATTACAACTATTTCCGTCAACTATGAATCTTTTAACACGTGTCCACCTATATAGTGTCGAATTCAACATAATCTACTCTCTATATATATTGTTGGGTAAATAGCACTTAAACCCCTGTGGTTTGAACTTTGTACACATGATCCTATTGTACTTTTAATATTAGTACATGACCCCATTGTACTTTTAATATAAACACATGATCCCCTATGGTATTCAACTTGATAACAATCATGATTCATACTCATTAGAAAGAAGAAATTGTTGAAAGTACAAGACAGTTATGTGCTTATATTAAACTAAAGGGGTCGTGTGCTATATTAAAAGTACAAGGGGTTATGCGCACAAAGTTCAAACTATGGGGATGTAAGTGCTATTTACCATATATTGTTATTAATTCGCAAATATATAGACATGAAAAAGCACACAAGCTCGACCCAAGTCTTTCTTTCTCTACCCCACTGCGCAAACACACACACGCACACATACGAAGAGAGCAAAAAACATAGTTTATAGCAAATTTGTCGTAGAATTTTCTGGGTATGCATTTCTTCTGAATTGAAGTTTCGAAGATCGGAATTCTGAATTTAAAGAGATCCTCCAAGTTATGGGGATCTCGTTCAAGGTTTCCAAAACCGGTAAGAGGGTTCACCCGAAACCGTTACCGCCCGATTCCGCCTCTTTTCCTGTCAAAGACGAAGAATCAAACGACACCGTTTTTGCTTCCTCGAAGAAGAAGAGTGGCACAATTTCTCTCTCTACTCGGAAACTAGCGGTACGGTGATTATTGTATTTTTTTTATTTTGCCAAAAAAAAATTGTTTTCATCTTTATAAGCAAATTTATGTAGAAATTTATCAAATTTCGATTGTAAATCATGAATTGCTTAATTACCTGCTTCATATGTACGATATATCTGAGAATGATCTTTTATGATTAATGATTTATTTTTCTGTTATGTTCATGGCATATAATTAGGGCTTTTGTAGATTTTTTTTCAGTATATGGAACAGAAGAAGCCATGGCAAAAAATTGCGTCCCTGAAATGTTATTGGCTTGTTTTATTGATTATTAATTATTAATTAATTTGATTTTTTTTCCTTTTATTATTCTTAAAAGATGAATTTTTATCTTTGTTTAGTTGCTTAATTAAGTATTTTCGTCTTTGATTAATGAAGTTATCTGTTCTTGTTATAGGGGCAGACTAGCGAGAACAAGAGCGTAGTTGAAATCTCTGGTAAGCGGATTCGATTATAAATATGGTGTCGGAAGTTTCGATGCCTCTCGCTATTGCATTTTTACCTTTTGTGATTTTTTTTTCTTTTACAGATAATGAAGTTTCGTTCACTCTAAGCCTTTTCCCCGACGGATATTCAATAGCGAAACCTAACGAGGTTTGCTTTAATTACTTTACCTTTGATGCCAATTAAAGCAACCGTGTGAAGATGGATTTATTTAGCCAAGTTTATAATTATGAGTTGGTTGACTTTGTGTACTGTGAATTTTCAGAATGAACCTGGCCGTCAAACTTCTGTTGAAATACCGAAATTTCTCCACCCATACGATAGAGCATCAGAGACTCTGTTTTCGGTAGGTGTTACTGTTTATAAATAATGATTTTTTTTTAAATTTTGTTTTATGTTCATGAAAGCAACATCAATTTCTTCATCTTCTATTTTATTCGTAACCTCTGTTAATTAGTTTACCTTATATATGCATTTTTTTATTTATTCGGAAGGCAATTGAGTCCGGTCGATTGCCTGGAGAAATTCTGGATGATATACCGTGCAAATACATGGATGGTACACTTGTATGTGAGGTTAGTTATCTCCGATTTAAAATACTTAATGGTAATTATAATAAAAGGCACAAATTCGTTGATTTGAAGATGCTTTCAAGTGAAGCATAAGAACATATGAAGAAATTTTGATCCATAAATTTATTCTTAATTTATGGTCGAGAAACGGCTTCCTCTTCATAATTACTTTTAACATTTTGTCTTGTTCTGAATTTCTGATAATCATGCTCTCTGCTTTATATTTATTCACGCTTCTTACATTTTGCTACTTTAGAAAACGATTTACAGAAAATTGAAAAATAATTAGTGTAAAATTCCGCTCTCATATGATTGTCGACTAATATTGCAGGTCCGAGATTATCGGAAGTGCTCCTGGGAAGGACAGAATGTGGCTTCTGTGGATAGCTCACCCGTCATTACCCGTATATGTCTTAGAATGTCTTTGGAAAATATAGTAAAGGATATTCCAGCTATTTCAGACAGTGGTTGGACATACGGTGATTTAATGGTAAGTGATCGATCCTCTTGTCTTAAATCTATTATGCTCTAGAAGGTTCTAGACAGTCTTTCTAACCAGAGTTTATTCGCATTTGGTTAAAGGAAGTGGAATCCAGAATTTTGAAGGCCCTGCAACCACAACTTTGCCTAGATCCTACCCCACAGCTCGATAAACTCACTAACAACCCCGTTTCCACCAAGGTTTGTATTCAAATCGTTATTTTTTCTAGTAAAAAACAACAAAAGATTGCGTATTTTTAATCCTTTGTTGTATTTTTTTTTTCTTTTTCTGCAGTTAAACTTAGATCTGCGCAGCATGCGAAGGAAAAAAATGAGGCTGGCTCAAGAAGTAGCTGTGTTGTCGAATAATGTCAACGGGAAAAAGGTATATCTCGAGAGAGTTCCAGAAAGTTCTAGAATGGGGGACTTGGGATCTTTAGTGCAGCAGCAGCAACCTTCGTATGAGAATTTGAACACTCAAAACAATGTTTCGAGCACTATGCTACCACTAAGGAACAACAGCTTTAGCTCCGACGCCTCTCTTATGGCATCTCACCAGTCAAAGTACCAAATCGGGATCGGCAGCCCTCGGATTATGAAGGATCAACGGTCAGGATCTCTTTTGAACGTATCCGTAGCTTCGCCAGGTGGACAGGATATGATGATTCCATTCTCCGATGATGTCACTGCTGCTTCTATTCATGGTAAGAGAGAGAATCAAGATTCGCAATCTTCTCCGCTCACCAATAAGAAGGCTAGGCTCACGCAGGCAGGTGGCGATGGGGGTATACAGAATATGGGCCCCCAAATGGACAGCTTACATGGATCCGAATTACACTGGAAGAACACATTATTACAGCACCAGCAATCGACGGGGAGAGGAATTCAGTATGGTAATAATAATAATAACGGCATGCAGAAGTTTCCTCACCAGGTGTTTGATGGAGGTCTGAACCAGGAAATGGGTCCCAGTAATCAAATGCCGTTCACTATCGGACAACAAGGAGTAAGATACAATTTAAAGGAGGAGCCGGTCGAGGCAGATAGACTGATGGGAGTAGAATCATCGGAATTGACAAATATCGATCCAAGATTGCAGCAAAGAATGCCACATCATCAGTTCGCCAGGTCGGGTTTCCCTCAGACAACATGGAACAACCTCGGTCAGCCTCTTGATAGTGCTACTACTAATAATAATAATAATACTAGTCAGAAGAGGAAACTAGTACAAAGCCCGCGTGTTTCTTCTGCTGGGGGATTGCCTCAATCTCCGTTGTCTTCGAAATCTGGAGAACTTTCTAGTGGTTCGATTGGGCATCAATTTGGAGCGGTTGCGAATAGTGGATTTGTGTCTTCTCAAAAGGAGAAAAATGCAGTCACGTCTGTACCTTCTGTTAGTGTGAATGATTCCATGCAGCAGCGGCAAACCCAGGTGCAGGCAGCTGCGAAGCGGAGATCTAATTCTCTTCCTAAAACACCTGCATTGAGTGGGGTTGCTTCTCCTGCAAGCGTTGGCAATATGAATTTACCAATAAACGCAAATAGTCCTCCGGTTGGGAATCAGCCTTTGGGTGATCAGACCGTTCTTGATCGATTCTCCAAGATTGAAATTGTTGCTATGAGGTATTTTTCTAATCATCAGTGGTAAAATCTCGTTTTGTTTCTTACACTTGTTAATTTTTTATTATTTTCTTTTCAGGTGTCAACTGAACTGCAAAAAGAATAAGGTAGATGAGTATCCGATCAGGAAGGCTAATGCGTATTCGACTCAACAGCTTGCTTCTCATCTTTCAACTGATTTAAACAACGAGAATTTGAAAGACGAAGCATGTAAGATGCCGTTATCGACCTCAATGATAGGGGGAAACATGAATGTTTGCAAAGTCAGGATCTTGAACTTTATCCAGACCGAGCGCGTTATTCAAGGTGTGTTGTCTTGACCTTTTTTTATTTTATTTTATTTAAACGTAACAGTGTCGTGGTTAAATTTGGCTGATTATCTTACAATTGGCATCTCTCAGGTAATAACATCCAATTGGTTCCAAAGGGGAGAACAAGGATGATCATGTCTGAGAAACCAAATGATGGCACTGTGGAATTTTATATTGGAGAAATCGAGGATGCTGAATACTTGGCCGCAGAGAATTACCTTCCAACATTACCAAATACTGTGAGTTTTATGCCTAAATTGGGGAACCTAAAATTAGGATTCGACATATGGTGTAATTATGTATCTGCAATTTAAATATATGCGTGTTGATCTTTTTTCCCGACTCCTGCAGAACATTGCCGACTTACTTGCTGCACAATTCACTTCACTGGTACGATACCATCGTCTTTTTACTGTATGATTAAATTAACATTTAAACTCCTTAAATTAAGTGAATAATATATATGTGTATATAAATACTCGAGCAGATGGTACGTGAAGGACATCCCTTGGAGGGGGATCATCTCCAACCAAAGCAAGTTCGAACGAATGCCACCTCAGCAGCCCAACTTAACTTCCCTTCAACATCCGAGATGCAACACCAGTTTCCGGAAGGTGTTTCTGTTCCGCTACCCAACGATATTACCAAACCTAATAATAATAATAATAGTAATAACAATAATAATAATGGTAATGCACCGGTGAACAATCAAGGCCCGAGAATGCTACCTCAGGCGATCCAAATGTCTCAAGGGCTACTGGCTGGTGTTTCGATGCCTACTAGATCACAGCAGCAAACCGAGCAAATGCCACCTCAGCATCCTCAGTTCCAAAGATCACCTATGATGTTATCAGCAAACTCGATGCAACATCTGAACATGGCTCAGAACGCAAACATGCAGTTAGGACCTCATATGACAAACAAACCTTCACCTCTCCAGCTTCAGATTTTGCAACAACAGCACCAGCAGCAGCAGAGGAAAATGATGCCTGGCCTTGGAAATGTCGGCATGGGGGGCAATATCGCTAATAGTAATAATATGGTGGGGCTTGGCGGATTGGGCAGTGTATTGGGAATCGGTGGCGGCGGTAGGGGGGTGGGTGGGGGTGGGGTTGGTATCTCCGCTCCGATGGGGTCCACAATCTCTTCGAGCATGAATCAGATGAATCAGAGTGCGATGAATCTGAGCGCTGCTTCGAATATCAATAGCGTTATTAGAAACGGGAATCTCACGCCTGCTCAAGCTGCGTACATGATGAAGATGAGGATGGGGCAGAACAGATCAAACGTTTTGGGCAGCAGCCCTCAGTCGTCGGGCATCGGGGCCGCCCGGCAGATGCTTCCGGGACCTTCCGGGCCCTCTATGCTGGGCCGGGGTAACATGGGCCAGATGCAGCGCACGGCTAATATGGGCCAGATGGGCCCGCCGAAGCTGATGCAGGGGATGAATATTTACATGAACCAGCCACAGCAGATTCAGCAGATTCAGCAAATGCAGCAGTTTCAGCAGATGCAGCAGCTACAGCAGCAGCAGCAACAACAACAGCAGCAGCAGCAAGAAAATGTTCTTTCGCCTCCTCAAGTGAGTTCACCGATACCCCATCAAATGAACCAGCAACATCAGCAGCAACTGCAGCAACAGCAGGCTAGCCCACAGCAGAGAGCGCCGCCTATGAGCCCGCAGCTCAGTTCGGGGGGTGTTCATTCGATGGGTGGTGGTGCTGCTGCTAATCAAGAAGCTAATTGCCCCGCGAGCCCTCAGTTAAGTTCCCAGACTATGGGCTCGGTCGGTAGTATCACCAATTCTCCGATGGAACTGCAGCAGCAAGGTGTCAGCAAGAGTAACTCTGTAAATAATCCGTGAGTTTGCTTCATCTTCCAAGATTGCCCTTCTATAACGTTTATCTTTATCATCGATTATTGTTCGTGTCTGCTACTGAATAAATCAGACATGATGAAGCCATGTCCAGTGGGAGGAGGTACATAATTATTTCTTTTCTTTTCGGATTTGTAGCGAAGGTTGTCATAGTGTATAACATTGCCAGATGTTTTTATCTAGTTTGGATTTATTTGACCTGAAAGTAGTTTGTTGCCTTGTAAGAAATAACAGTCTCCCCTCAATATTACATTACTTAAGAGTTACATAAGTGAAACAAAAAATAATTATTAGAGTCTGCAATGCTCTGTTCTAACATGGCTTCTTGATATGTCCTTCACATTGCAACATCCTGCTAGTGCCATGGTGGACTCGAGCTCGTCTTTGAGCATATCTACGACTCTTTTAACCCCATGATCTCCCTTTGCAGCTAAGCCATAAATAACTGGTCTTCCAATCTGTAGATTATTGAAAAACCGTTGTAGAATTGTAGAATAATACTTGTATATGGCAGAGTAACTGTAGTAACTGTATACGTAAAACTTTACCATAACAGCTTGTGCACCGAGAGCTAAGGCCTTGAATATATCCGATCCGCGTCTCACTCCTCCGTCGAAAAGAACTGGAATATTCCCTTGCACTGCAACCACCACCTGCAAAATCATTATAACACCACAAGTGTTTTATTGGCTATGTAATGTAAGAAGTATGGAGAAGAATAGACAACCTCTTCAAGAACAGTGATGGTGGCTGGACTATAATCGAGTTGACGAGCGCCATGGTTAGAAACAATTATTCCCGATACACCTACCTCCAATGCTCTTAATGCTGCAAAAATTAAGAATTAAGAATTTTGGCTATGTCGCAAGGCGTGTAGTCGAAGATATACCATCTTCTCGGGTGAGAATCCCCTTCAACAATATTGGCAAACTTGTAATGGATTTCAACCATCCGATATCCTGCCAAAAATAAAAATAAAAGCTCGAATATTTAACAAAATTCCCTCTCAGAAACAAATTCAAGCCAATAGCGATGCCTATGAAGAAATTGGTAATTTATACTATACCTCCCAGCACAGTGAATCATCGAAAGACGCAGACGCGAAGGCTTCAATATTCGAACCCTTATCCTGTACATGGATAGATAATTATTTCATTCAATACAAAAGTTAACTATACGAAAGACGTAAAACACTCGTGTATTAGAGCACAACATTAGAAGAGACTCCCTTTACATACAGAGACAACTTGTGTTGAAATAAGCCCTTCAAAATTCTTCAACTGAGGTGCAATCATCCTGCATAGTTATGTCATATATAGTCTTTCTACATTCTTGAGTTGTAAGAAATACAAAAAAATACAAAAAAATAAAAAAAAATACAAAAAAAAAGATTATTAGAAAGTTAACTTGTTCTTAATATCTGCCTCCCTTCGCCCGAGTCTAGGAGTATCAACAGTAAGAATTACAGCCTTATATCCATTTCTTTCGGCTCTTTTCACCATCATAGCTGATATTTCCCGTCTTTTATACACCTGTTTTTACGTTGACTATTTAACGAAATATCTCCAATTTTATATAAATATGCTTAAAAGAAATAATACAAAGTGATTCAGAGATGTACGTATAATTGTAAGAAACGAACTGCATTGCAGCTCGAAGCAACTTCCTCCACCGTACATGTTGACATAAAGGATAACACCTATTGTATCATCATTTAAGCACCCAATTATTATTATTATTATTCCTTTTTTTTTTTTTTTTAACAATTCAACGAGATAAACAAATAGTACCATTATAACGTTTGAGGCAGCCGAAGCTTTGGCCGTGGCAACTTCTCCTAGAATAAATTATAAATTACAAATTACAAATTATTACATTATAAAAGAAAAAAAAAAGAAGATTTATATATACATATAAGTTTTATTAATATTGACCTTCGAAATGTGCCAATTTGTGCATGGCTGTAGGGGCAACGATAACCGGGGCCGATGTGGTGTAGCCCATAATCGTTGTTGTCGTATCTATTCTGCTTATATCTCTCATAATTCTTGGACGGATTCTGATCAGTGTTACATAAACTAATTAGCATGTTTAAAATATTGTTTGTTGGGAAATAATTAATGTAATAATACAGTTAAACCTCTATAAATTAATACAGTCGGGACTAGCAAAATTCTATTAATTTAGTGAAATATTAAATTACCGAACTAATAATTTAGTTGGTTTTTACTGAGCCGCGATCTGAGTCGCGATCAGAAGAAACTATTATTTAAGCGAAGTTATTAATTTATCCAATATTAATTTATCGGGATTCTGCTGTATATATAATTATAGGTGATGGAATAAACTTACGTGATTCTTTGAAACGCTTTCACGTTTTGTTCGAGTGTGTGTTGGTCTTCGGCTCCGCCCGCATAGAAGTCGTAGTACATTTTCGGAAGGGCCCGCCTCGCAAGTTCTTGAAACTCGATTATATTTGCACTTTCACCCATGATTTTTATATCCTGCAAAAACAAGCTCAAGTTCAGAGAACATGATCAATGTATATCATATTGGAGAAGAAGGGTATTGTTGTCATTTCAGAACATGACATTTTCTGTTTATTGGATTTTTTGTCTTTTTTTCTCTTGTTTATTTATATTTTGGGCTTGGTTTGTGTGATTGCTCGTCAGCAAACCTGTGTAAACTCAGGCGGCATCAGAAATTTGGATAATATTGTTTCGAATTTTTTTAATTACAAAAACTATTAGGAAGTAAATGTGAACCAATTTGTAATTTGTAAATATTTGTTTACCCTAAAATATATAATTTAGAAGATGTTTATTAGTAACTAGTATTTTACTCAAATATATAGTATTTGTTTTACTCAAATATTTTTATACAAATTAGTATTTGTAATTTTTTTATACTAGTATTTTTTTACACTAAATAAATTTTTTATATATACTATATATTTGAGTGTAAAAAATACTTTTTTTTTTACATTTCAGCGATTTTTAGCAAAAAGCGTGTGCTATAGTATACAATTTTTTGTGATTTTTTCTTGATCATTAAAAAATTAGTGAAACAATATGCAGATGAAAATTTTATTGACTACCTATTGATAAACATCTTCTTTACTATATATTTGAGTGTAAAAAAAATGCTAATTTTCTTTTCTTTTTCTTTTTAAATATTTTGACGATTTTTAGCAAATAATGTGTGCTATATAGCATACATTTTTTTGATTTTTTGAAACAACTCTTAGATGAACAATTTCTTTACGACTTATGGACAAACATTTTCTATACTATTATATTTTGAGTGTAATTTTTATTTTCGAACATTTCAACGATTTTTAGCAAAAAAAGTATGCAATTTTTTTTTTTTTTTTTTTTCTGACGACTAAAAAATTAGTAAAAACATACATTCTTCTTGCATTAGACTGGGAAAAAGAATTTCCAACCAAAACAAGAGATAATAAAGAAATTAAATCATCATATTAATGAAACATAAATTTGAAAACACCTTGTTCTTCATCTCATATTTGCAGCAGCTGGTTCATGCAAATACTTACACCTATCTCCATATGTACACCTTCCTTGAACAAAGTGCCTGCATATCTGCTTTTGTTGTACGTAAGCACGTGTTTGCTGTATATTACGGTTATGACCACCGAATCCATGCAACCCTCGATTTTCTTTTAACATAGGCCTCTGTAATAACGGATTCTCGAGATGATTCGCGTTTGGAAAATAGGTTTGAGGATTCCTTAGTATAGAACTTTCGTGTGGGCCCCCCCTTTGAAAACCGTAGTTTGTGCTCGTCAAAGGTTGCCTTTGATGAATATGCTGTGCTGGAATATAATTAGGCTGCCGATGCAGAATATTCTCTTGCTCGATCGCCTGGTTAATCGGTTTCTCTCTATTCACGGGTACAGGGTTTTTCGTTGTCCTAAATATATACAGGAGCGTTATTAATATTACGTACGAGGATTCTAGCATTCGCATGCAGAATTCAAGATTACGAACAATACCTATCTCCCTTGTGCGTTTTCCGAATTTCCTTTTCTTGAATGCGTGCTTCTCTGTTCGAACGAGCAGCACCGCCTCTAGCGTGTTTTTCCGACAGAATCTTCTGCCTTTCTCCTTCGTCGTCCCATTTCTAAATAATGGAGAAGGGTAATATAGTAAAATTACACGATTTATATAGAGACAATGGATAGAGAAACATTTGATGGAGCAAACGAAACCTGTCTCATAGTTTTCAATCGGTAGAGGTTTCTGCCTTTGATGAGCAGTGGGTGAAGTGGCGGCAGAGGTTTCTCTCCTTTACTCCATAGCACTTCAATCTGCTCCGACCGACCAATCGAGAAAGCTAATTTTAGTACTCACTCGAATGTTAACTATATTATTCTAAGTAGACAACCGATTCAAGATTTTCGAAATAGTTTAGAAAATGTTACGATGGTCTTCCGAAAAAAAATATAATTCTCGAATTGTAAATCATCGCAAGAAAAGTATGAACAAATTGAGAGTTGACTACCGTAAATGTATGTTGCTGCTTGGCAGCCCCGTAGCTCTCCTTCACAATCCGCCCTGCAACAACCCTTGTCCCGGTAGGCGGACCGCATGCACTACGAGATGCAATATTGAATCTGAAAATAAAAAAATAAAAAATTCATTGCCTCCAAACGCGGAATGCCAATATTTATCAAGAACGCGGGCTTATGGTAACTTATAAAGTCGGTAGAATCTCAAGTGAGAAACGAAACAAGGCTTACAGTTCGTATACGTTCTGTTCGAACATGACTACGTCTCCCATGCATGCATCACCTGCATAGTTTGAAATTTCAAATTCGGAAGACGAAAAAAATTTGTCGGAGCAAATGACGATCAAAGATCAAAACTTTAGTATCGGTTTGAGGAACATTCAAGAAAGATGAAATTTCATCGGCATTCGGTAATATAATATATTGAAGTACTAAATTCATCTACTTCGTGACAAAATTTAGTAATTTGGTATCTATTTTAACCTACTTTCTAGAAACTTCATCGACAAGTCACGAAATTCAACACTCGTTTCGAAAAACGCAAAGCTAATAAAAGGACAATTACCTTTGCAATTCAATACGAAACTAGATGCCGGATACTTTTTCTCCCCATCACCATTGACAACACTGAAAATATCATATTAGTAGAATTAGAATTCAAAATATAAAAAATCCGATTCGACATTTAAAATAAAGAAACGGAAACGGAAGATTACTCGATATGCTCCTTAATACGAAGAATAAGTGTCTCTTTCTTGCCGCTCAATCTCAATCCGTGTTTCCTTAAATAAACCTTGCATTGCTCCACTTTCAATCTCTCCACCTCACCACCTGCCATCATTGAATTACACTAATTTAACAAACAAAATATATAAATACACACAACACACGGAAAAAAAAAATCGATTCGTAATAGTATTAAACGAACCTTCGATAATTTTCTGGATAGTTTCGTAGCTTTTTTTGTCCTTCTCGTCGAGCTCCGGCATAACCGTTTCGATCGCATCCGATTCTTCCGCTTCTTTTTCATTCTTTCCATTAACAATACTGAGTAAAACAAGATATACAACCATGTCAATTTCACACACACATATACATTTCATCAGCAAAGAGAATACATGAAAATTTCAAAATCTAGGAAGTCAAAAAACATAACAAAATTACGAAAATGCCATCGAGATGATGAATAATCCATCATTTACATAAACACACACACAAACATTTTTTATTGGGTGTTGATTCATAAAATTAAAATAATTACTGGGTGTCGATTTTTCTGTTGAGGGTTAGGTCTGAGAAGGTTAAGCGAGTCTCCTCAAGAACGTCGAAAGTCGGGTCGTCTTGTGAATCGTCGGAATATTCCGAACCAATTTCAGATTCTTCATACTGTTGTTCCTCGGAATATTCCATCGCCGTGTATCAAATCTTGAGAGAGCTTCAAAGAAAAATAATAGGAAGAGATGATAATTCTTTATGCGAGATTTTGGGGTTCCACTCAATAAAAATTGTTCTGCGTTTTTTGAAAAATGTTACCGTTGGAAAATGGAAAAGGATTTTTCAGACTAATTTCTTAATTTGCTGGGCCCATTGTTAATTTTGTTAAATTGGGCTTCTAAATTGGAATCATCTTAGCAATATGGGCTTGTAATAATTCGCAGGTAGATAAATGTGAGTTTATTTTAACAATAAATTTTAAATTCTTAACTCTAATTTCGAATTGCGTTTATAAATTGTTAGGTGTAAATCGGACGGATTGAATCAGAATCACCTCTTTCGAAAGTGAAAAATTAGTGCCAAACAAATCGCAAAAGAAATTGGGAATCGAAATTTCGGAAAATAGAACGAAAAAACTTGTTGCAAAACCGGAAAATTTCGAATCATAATCTAAGGGCATTTTAATTACTCATTCTCAAACTTCGCCCTTATAATTCATAAATTATTTCATATTAATTCTCACAAACAAGAGTAATTAGTGGATGATGAGAGAATTAGTGGGAAGGAAGAGATTAGTAGTATATTGGAGTATATTTTTCTAAACTTCATCTAGTTTTTATTTTTATTAACTTATATTAATATATTTATTGAAATTTTAAACGAAACTTAATTTAAAATGGATAATTACTCTATTTGCATTTTAATACATAAGAAGATCCGGATCCGGACCCGCTCCTGACCCGATGGTTGGTTGGTGCTTGCGCCTTTTCCAGTTCCCAATTTCATCGTCTTTTTCTCTTCCATCTCTAGTCCGATCGGTGTATTATTAGCAACTAGCAAACCCTAGTAGCTTCAATCATATTGTTCCGTCGTTTCAGCAAACGCAATGAACCGTGGCAGAGGCGGCAACCGCGGCGGCGGCGGTGGTGGTGGAGGAGGGCGCTACGTTCCCCGAGGGCGATCGTCACAATCTGCGGATCGTCACAGCCCTGTAATATTATTATATACCCCCTTACGATTCCTGTAATTGATTTCCTCTGCACTTGATTTGCTGTTGAAAACATGGAATACTGAAGCTTTTTTTTTTTTTTGAGTGTATTAAGTTAAAAAAAAACTTAAACTTGATTTTGTTAAGTACCTATAGCTAACTGTAATTTGATTATTTCACACCACAAATTAGCTGATAATTATGCATACATGGGGAATTGGGATATTTCGTTTGTTTGATTATAAAATTTTGAAGTGGATTAAGGTGATAATATTGCTGTACTTTGTTGGATATATATGCGTTTTAAGTAACATTATAAATGTTCAGATTGGAGCTCATTCAAACGAGTCTTCTCCTGGTAATGGAAGTGGATCTTCGAGAAGTGAAACAAGAAACTCGGAAGTAGCAGCGGTCGATAACGTAACAAAGAAATTCAGTGATATGTCATCATCAGATTATCAACAAGGACCTAATTCTGAACCCCGTGGAGTTAAAACCGCGTCGCCAAATGATGGAAATCCCAGACGAGTACAGAATATTGCTCCAGGTTTTGATAATGATTTTCCTTCATTGTCAACCGAGTCAGCTCAGACGATAGACTGTAGTTTTATGAACGGTAAGCTCCCTAAGGAAGTTGAAAGTGGGAAGAGTACTTCTGATGGAACTAGCGGAAAAAGTGGATTCGAGAATTCTGATAGCCAACAAAAAGGATGTTCTTTCGATATTTGTGAGCAGAGAGATAGAAATGTTGTGAAGCTGAAAACACCTCTGCATGTGAAGAACAAAGCCGCGAGGAATGAAATGAAGCGTCGTACCGAAGGATACAACAACATACAGAATCTTAGGCCTGGCATGATTCTACTAAAGAATTATTTATCCGTATCAGACCAGGTCGCATATCAGTTTACGTCGTCTTATTACTGATTAACTTATACTAAAGATTACTATAAATGTTCAATACTTGTCTCTGTTTAGGTCAAATTGATAAAGGCGTGCAGGGATCTTGGTCGAGGGTGCGGAGGTTTTTACCAACCTGGGTACAGTGATGGAGCAAAGTTACAGTTGAAGATGATGTGCCTTGGTAAAAATTGGGATCCCGAGACAAGCACGTACGGTGATAAAAGGCCCATTGATGAAGCCGAACCTCCCCCTATTCCCGTTGAGTTTCAGCATTTGGTTAAAGAAGCTATTCGGTATTGCCATAGTCATTTAGAGTCTCATTCCAAAGAAAAGAGTCCGAGAGATATTCTTCCTTCGATGTCTCCAAACATATGTATCATCAACTTCTACACAAAGAACGGGAAACTTGGTCTTCATCAGGTTTGTATATACGCGTTGTTTGTTAACAAAATATCCTACGTCTCCAATCTGAAGACCCTTTTTTTTCTTACATTGTTTGGAATAGTTAACGTTGTTGCGGTGCCCTGTTCACTTCTCTATCTATCAACTAGGGCCTCGCTTGGTTGATAAGATAAGCTACAATTAATTAAAGAATTAGGCCTTATTTGATATTTGGTTCGTGCAATAACGAATGGAGAAAATGAGATCTTATTTTGGCTTATTGGGGGGTTACGTATTGGATGCCCTTAATCCAGTTATACAATTGAGATTGCATAATTTATATTGGCTAATCTTATGTTGGGAACCAAACGAGACTTAACTAGTATTTTAGGGATTAACACTTGCACCAAACATATCTATCTTAGCTTATTTTGACTAAAAATGTTCCGATACAGGATAAAGATGAAAGTCAAGAAAGTTTAAGTAAAGGACTTCCTGTGGTATCTTTCTCAATCGGTGACTCTGCAGAATTTCTGTTCGGGGGGGACCAGAGGGACATCGACAAGGCAGAGAAAGTTGTACTGGAATCAGGGGATGTGTTAATTTTTGGTGGTGAATCGAGGCATATTTTTCATGGTGTTAGTAACATTATTCGCGATACTGCCCCTAAAGCTCTTCTGGAGGAAACCGATTTTAGACCCGGCCGTTTGAATCTCACTTTCCGAGAGTACTGATGTTTACACTGTGGTAGTATTGTACAAGTTTATTGTATCTGCTGTTGTTTTGAATTACTACATAAGATTTAAGGTGGGGTGATTCTGTACAGTTGTACTACTATAGCTTGTTAATTGTCACTTGTTTCAAGATATAACATTTTATTTTCCCCCAAGTTTTTAATGATATTAAATTATTCACGAATTTATTTATTTACCTTGTATGGATGAGTTTATTTTAAATGCATTTCATTTCCTTTGATCAGATTTCTATATATTTTTTTAAGTAATTCTGGTAGATTTGAAATCTATTTTATATCGAGTAATCGTAGAGAATCGAAAAATAAAAGTGTGGGTGAATTTTAATCACTCGTTAACAACAGTAATCAGATACGTTGTGTATGGAATTTTAGGATCGAATATATAAGAAAGTAACATTAATCGAATTCATTTCGAGTCATCATAGGAACAACACAAAGCAATTTCAGAAAGATAGAAAAAAAGTACATAAACCCGACAGCGCCACATTTGAAACTATATTTCTCAAACATATCGTACATTTACCGCTTGCAGATGGTTTGAAATCGCAAGCGCCAAGTATTATTATTATTGTAATGTGGACGGCCGGTATTTTATTTAATTCCAGAAATTCGAAAGATTGTCAAATGGATAGAACGTAGCTGACAGCTCCCGGAACCAAGATAAGGATCTTTCCGACCAATGCATCAACTGCGGTGAGAACAATAATCGGAATCCGAAGAATAGGATTTCCAGTCGGGATATTGAAAGTGCAAGAGTTTGGCGGTAGAGTGACGTTTAGATAACATTTTCCACTGTCGAACAGAACAGTATCTAAAGCGGTCGCCACAAACCTGTAGACTCCAGCGGTATTGGTTTGAGTTGACAGGATGACAGCTGGCAGAGATGTGCCACTTCCGGGCCCACAGACGAGATCCACTTTGGCTTGTGGGACCACGTTGTAGGTCCCGGCTGTTGCCACCGAAGTGTTGGTGCATGTGATTACACCTCCGAGAATTACACCGTTTAGTAAGGCTGCGTTTGTTGCTGCTATTGTGGCGGAAATGGAAAGGAGAGAGATGAGAAATTTCAACAGGAAGGCCATTTTTTGATCCTTTTGATGAGTGTTATTTATACGATTCTTCGTTTTTTTTTTGTTTTTGTTATTGTTGTTGTGTATATAATTTGAGAGTAATGAGCATGCATATTTATAGGGGTGGTAGAGTTTATGCCCATACTCTTGTTGTTGAAGATTTGTGGTGAAGAACAAAAGCTTTCTTTGAAAATGGTGTTTATCATTAGAATACTATATCTTACATAACTACTTGATTTGAAAAGATTTTCAAAGAAAAAATATATGTTTTTTTCTTGATTAGTTATCGAACCCCATATCGCACTGGACCGAAACTCCACTCTGTTGAGTACTGTTCATCATCTTCACCCGATCAATTTTTATTTTTTTCGTTTCCTTTTTATCCCGTTATCCGTTACACCTCCTTTAGGCTTTATCCAGCTGTATGAACTACTTTTTAGCAGCACATATAATAAAAGCATACTTATTTTATGCATGCCTGTACATGCAATATACTTAAGCTAGCCTTGGTGTATTTTCGGTCAGTTAAACAACAAACGGCTTAGCTTGCCTATAGACGAGTATCACAGAAATTGATCGAAATCCCGTCTTCGATCTTCAAGAAACGAAAAACAATGCCCGAAACCCGGAACCCGAAATCTTGAAAGATGGGGAAGAGCTAGTACTATTCAAGAAACGAAGAATAGTAGAACATATACATAATGGTTAATATGTTATCAAAACAAAATCTCTTACACGTAAACGGCCGCGAAGAAGATGCATAATAGTGCTCAAGAAAGTGGAGTTTCGGTCCGGTGGAAGATAAACTAATCATACTCCGAAAAAAGTTTCTTCGAAAATATTTTCGATAATACATAAATTGTTAAAGGGGAACAAGTTGTTCAATAAGATATGTTATTCTAAAGTCTAAACTTAAAAAAATACAATTTTCAAAGAAAGTTTTTCTTCTTCTACTCATATAAACCACATTATCTTTCCAATTAGGGTATGGGCATAAGCTCTACATTCCCTCCTATAAATATGCATGCTCATCACCCTCAATCATCCACACCAAAAAAAACCCGTAAACCATCATAACACTCGTAAAATAAAATAAAATAAAAACCCCACGAAAAAAATGGCCTTCCCGTTGAAATTTCTCATCTCTCTCCTTTCCATTTCCGCCACAATGGCAGCAACTAACGCAGCCTTACTAAACGGTGTAATTCTCGGAGGTGTAATCACATGCACCAACACTTCGGTGGCAATAGCCGGAACCTACAATGTGGTCCCACAAGCCAAAGTGGATCTCGTATGTGGGCCCGGAAGTGGCACATCTCTGCCAGCTGTCATCCAGTCAACTCAAACTAATACCGCTGGAGTCTACCGTTTTGTGGCGACTGCTTTAGATACTGTTCTGTTCGACAGTGGAAAATGTTATTTAAACGTCACTCTACCGCCAAACTCTTGCACTTTCAATATCCCGACTGGAAATCCTATTCTTCGGATTCCGATTATTGTTCTCACCACAGTTGATGCATTGGTCGGAAAGATCCTTATCTTGGTTCCGGGAGCTGTCAGCTACGTTCTATCCATTTGACAATCTTTCGAATTCCTCGAATTAAATAAATTAACCGAGGGCCCACATTATAATATTATAAGATGTTCGAAACGAGTGTAATTTCGGCGTTAAAGATGTGGCGCTGTCGTTTTTGTGTGTGTGTTTTTTTTTCTTTCTGAACTTTGCTTATGTACTGTTTCTGTTTCTATGGTTTGATATGGAATCATTAATGTTATTTTATTTTCGTCGAAATGTTAATTAATCCGATTTCGAACTAAGAATTCGAAAGTATATTAAAAGCCTAAATAGATCCTATTTAATCCCGGTTTATAGTTTGAGTGCTTCAGCCTAACAATGGTTATAAGTTGGTGTGAAAATTACATTAGATGAAAAACGATAATGTCGAAAACGAATTAGGAAATATGTGTCTTTAAATACGAAAATCGATTAGTAAAGAAACAACTTCACATGATCACAACTTCGAAAGAAATAAATAAGTAGAACTTATAAAATAGTAGCACTGCCTAACACAATTTATTGAAAGATTTTCAGTTGAGAATTTTTCCTGTGCTACATCTGAACTAACAGCTACCTACACACAAACATTGATTTAATTAAATATCAAAATAAATCACACACTTGGCACTCGAAACTGCCAACAAACATTTCCGAAGAATCCTCCTCGTCTTTCCTCTATATAAAACAGAACAAATCTCCGTGACATAAAATCAGTAACAAAAAAAAAAATACAATGGCCTTTCTCGCGAAGCTACTACTCGTTTCTCTTCTGTCGATTGGATTCACCGAGACGTCAGCTCAAGTTGGTATATTCGGTAATGTAACTCTCGCAGGTGTTATTACTTGTCCTAATGATTCCCTCGCCACTCTCAGAATCTTTCGTATAATCCCGGAAGCAAAAGTTGATGTCGTTTGCGGAATCTTGTTTTTCCAACGAACGGTGAAATCGACTACAACGAATCTCATAGGAGTGTATTCCTTCTCCTTCAGTTTTTCGGATATATTGTTGAATAATCCGGAATTGTGCTATCTAAATGTCACGCTACCGTCAAACTCGTGCACCTTTGATCCACCTGGCGGTGCGATTAGGTTCCCTATCGTTGGAATTCGATCGGTTTTAGGTACTGTCAGTACCTATATTCCTGGCGCTCCGAGCTATTTGCCCGTGTGAAAAAAAAAACATGTTCTTGGCGTGCTACGATATGTACTGTTTTATTTAAAAAGTTTCGGTTAGTTTACGCAGTTTTAATTTCTCGAATAAAGTGCTGTAACACAGTTCTGTTTCGTTGTTCGTTTGTTGTTGTTTATTGTATTTTGTTTCGGAGTACGACTTCATCGTAAAGGTATTTCAGACAACTGATTACAAACTCTGAGGTTCCGTAATTCCGTACATACGAACTTTTATATATCTACTTCTTATACACAAATCCACATGTCTATGTGTGTGATTACGTGCATATCTACGGTGAAATACTACACGATGCAATAGAGTTAATAACCCTTATATTATTTCAAGAAATCGGGTCCTAAAAACGGAAAGAATCGGGTTTTACCGAACGTGTAGCAATTCTTGAAGATTTGATAGTTAGAAGTTAGAACAACTTTAGCACTTTTAACAGCAAAAAAGGGGTACAGTGCAGCTGGTGGAGATCATTTTCTGTGTTTAATTCACTTACTTTTCTTTGGCAGCCAACTTCCACTAACCACTTTTCGATAAAAAAAAATTAAAAATTAAAATAAATAATTAATTACTTAATTAAGAAAACCCCTCAAAGATTATCTACCCAATCAGCCAACCAACAAGGGTGAACTGCAAATGGAGTGTAGGATATATATATAAAGCATATTTAAAACCTTTGCTTAACTCAATTAAAAGTACTTTTGAATTAAATAAATTCATGTTTCTTGTATATATAAGGCTATCTAGCTTGTCTAATGTTACATAAGCGTCGAACAAGTGACGAAAGAACTTGAATCGTTTTTCGTGTTGAGGATACGAATATGTAGAGAAAACGGGACGGGATTGACTGAAGCTGGAGAAGCAGGGCACATGCCTAATTTGCTCGATTTTTTTTTATCGAAGTATGGGCATGTGCTCTACCTCTCCATCTTTGTCCCTCCTCCCGATGAAGATCGAACAATGCAAAAAGACCGTTTTTCGAGGAAATAAATAAAACCATGCATGTAAGAATTTTTAGCAGCTCTTCTCTACAAAAATGCAGTAACATTCATAAGATTTATTGCATTCATTTAAAAAATCTCCCCTAAATGCTCACCATATAGGGGCCTTTTTGCTAATAATAATAATATGTGGGGTTTTTTTAGAAAATCAGATATAATATAGGGTACTAAATGCAATAAACTCAAAATTCATATGATCATATGTATACAGTATACATACAGATTAGGTCAAGCGAACGCCATTGCTTCTGTTTCAGCTCGGATCAAGTTGGCGTAAATGCCGTCTAAATTGGCAGACAGTAGGGAGTCGTGGTCGCCGTATTCCGCGACGGCGCCGTTTTTCATGACGGCGATGAAGTCGGATTCTCTGATGGTGGAGAGGCGGTGGGCCACCACGATGGTGGTGGCGCGTTTGGATGCCCTCTTGAACGCGGATTGAATGTGCTTCTCTGATTCTAGGTCAAGCGCGCTGCTAGCTTCGTCGAGTAAGAGGATCTTCGATTTCTTCAGTATCGCTCGAGCTATGGCGATTCTCTGCTTCTGCCCTCCCGATAACTGCACTCCACTCTGCCCTACCTGTAAATCAAGGTAATTCGTGTTTAACCATGACTAGCAAATTAATTCTTCTGGTTTATTTAATTTAATTTTTTTTAATAATTTAGGAATTGCCTAGCAGATAATTTGTTAGATAAATAAATAAATAAGAACTGACCTCTGTTTCATAACCCTGAGGAAGACTACTGATGAACTTATGAATATAAGCTTCTTTAGCAGCAGCTTCAATTTCCGACCAAGAAGCATTACCATCTCCGAAAGCAATATTCTCTCTTATACTCCCGGCAAACAGCGATGGTTCTTGTCCGACCAAAGCAATCTCTTTCCTCAGCCACTTCAAATCGAAATCCCTCAAATCAACCCCACCGATCAAAACCCTCCCGTTCACCGGATCGTAAAACCTCTGCACCATCCATATCACCGTCGATTTTCCCGACCCGCTTCCTCCGACCAGCGCCACCGTCGTCCCGCTCTTAATCTTTAGGCTGAAATTGTTCAGAACCACCACCTCCGGTCTCGACGGGTAAGCAAATGTCACCCTCTTGAACTCGATGTTGGCTTTCGTGATTTTATTGACTTTTTTCCGGTTGCCGTTGACTATCAACGGGCGGCGGTGGAGAATGTCGAAAATTGAGGGTATTGCGCTTGCTGCCGATGAAGTGTCCGGCGCTAAACCGGCTAATTGACCCACCGAAAACGAGCTTAGGACGAGTATCAAGAAAATCTTGTACACAACTCCGAAATTCGTGTAGTCCTTTTTCACAAGATAAGCTCCGAAATATAGTGTTAGTGTGTAGGCACCATACATTGCACCTTGTGACAAACCAAGAACCAATCCGAGTATTTGCGATTTTTTGACCGAAGCTCGTTTGGGCTCGTCTAGAGCTTGATTAAAAGATTGAACTATTTGCTCTTGTGTGCCGAATGTGGCAACTGTTCGTATACTCGAAACGGCACTTGCAGCGATAGTGCTTGCTCTTGCATAAGATGCGTTGTCTAATTTCGGACCAATATTAATAATCAAGTTCAAGTAACTTGCTCCGAGAGTCAACGGGGTGACCGCTGCAGCTAAAAGGGTCAGCCTCCATTGAAGGTAAAACGCGATTCCCAATCCGACAGCTGCTGAGCTGGCACCCATTAGCAGAACGGAGAAACGGTCACCTAGAACATTCCGGAAGCTGATACAGTCAATTGACAGTTTCGAGACGAGTACACCTGTCGAATTCTCGGATGAATCGAACCAGCCAGGTTCTTGTCTTAATATGGCTTTGAAGAGCGAATCTCGGACTCGTTTGGTGAGCTTTGTTCCGGAGTATCCACAGAAGCCTTGCTGACCTGTCATGGAGAATATGCACGCGAACCCTAGTCCTACTAGGATTAGACATAAATTCCCTACTTCCCTTTTCATCTCATGGAAGTTCTTTAAGAAGTAGACTTTTAGTGCTTGTCCTAATACTAAGGGAAAGATTGATAGAATTGCACCTGCAATCATTCCCATGAAAAGACCCGTTATCAGTGTAGTAATCTCCGGTTTCTGCATGTTCAAAACATCCCCAAGTTTGTAGCTTTTCGTCTTCGGTTCTTTCGTAATTTCCTCTTCTTCTCGTCTCTCCTCTATTCCGATTCTTGATGTTTCATATTCTTGCATAGATTTTTCCTCGAAGAAGTCGGAATTCTTTTTCTGGTCGTGATTTTGAGGCTGTGATGATGATGTCATCATCCCTTCTGAAGCCATTTTGACGAGGTCGAAATAGGCGCCGGTTTTTTCCATGAGGTTTTGGTGGTTCCCCGTTTCGATTACCGAGCCAGCTTCGAGCACAACTATGGTGTGAGCGTTTCTTACTGTGGCTAGCCTGTGAGCAATGATGATTGTGGTTCTGCCTGTCGATATTTTATCGATTGCCTTTTGAACAATGATTTCCGACTCGGCATCTAAGGCGCTCGTGGCTTCGTCCAATAGGAGGATTTTAGGATCTTTTATCATCGCTCGAGCGAGTGCTAATCGCTGCTTTTGGCCGCCCGATAGTTGCGTTCCTCGGTCGCCCACCTTTCAATAATAATTCGATCTTATTCTTTTACGTACCGAAGAATAAAATAAAATTGGGAGATGATATTACTAACTAACCTCTGTATCATAGCCTTGTGGGAGGCTAGAGATGAAGCTGTGAGCATTGGCTGCCATGCAAGCTGTGATAGCTTCTTTCTTGGTGGCATTTTCTTTCCCAATCAACACGTTTTCGAGAATGGTCGTTGCAAAAAGAACCGGTTCTTGACCAACCATACCTATTTGATTTCTTAGCCATTTCACTTGTAGTGTCCTTAAATCATATCCATCCACAGTGATAAACCCTGTAAAAATTGAATTTTTTTTTTTCGTTCGGTACATTAAGGATAATACTGAGTTCTTGAAAAAACAAAGATTTGAGCTTAATTACCTTGGATTGGATCGTAAAACCGTTCGATAAGAGCGAAAATGGTCGATTTTCCACCTCCACTAACACCTACTAATGCTAGACTCTTCGAATGTGGAATCACTAGATTTAAAGAACGTAAAATTTGCATAGTGGGGCGAGACGGATAAGCAAAAGAAACACTTTTAAATTCGATTTTCCCACGCATGCTCGTTGGTATTCTTCCCTCGGGGCTATACGGATCGATTTCCGGGATTCTGTCGATTACTTCAAACACTCTGCTAGCCGCTACAGTTGCTTGTGAGAACTGTGCAAAATATGACAGTGCCAATGCCAACCCCCTTGTAGTAATAAAAAAAACACACACACACATTCTTGATTTAATTAGTCCTTCATTAATGTTCACAAAATGTTTATATATAGAAAAATGGAATTCTTTTACCTTCCGCCGACATTTACACCGAAGAAACAAGCGATGGCATCACCACCGGAGAGTTGGTTTTTTGAAACTAGGATTGATCCGTACCAAAAGGCCAATGCCCAGGTCGAGTAAGTGACGAGATAAATAATACCTATTCCTGCACCCTTTGCAAAGCCGAGTTTTGCGCCTAGTGGCACTGATTTTTCGAGGTTTTCGGAGTATTTTTCGGCTAAAGTATCTTCCGCTACGAAAGAAATCACGGTTCTGATTGAACTTATGGCTTGTTCTGCAATGCCACCAGCATTCCTGTAAGAGCCCTGTTCATAAAAATGCAAGTTATAGATCACAACTTTTTTACGTATTTTGTGTGTGTGTGTGTGCGTGTGTTTGTATTAATTCTGACCTCTTCTTTTGCAGCTAGGCCACCATATATAGCCTTATAGGCAATGCCACAAAACATTGTTAATGGGGTCACTGCAAACACTGCTAACGACACCTTTGGCGATTTCAAGAAACCGACTATGTACCCGCATATGAAGGTAAATATATGATGAATAAAATGTGCCATCTGCATTATAATTAACTATGTCAAATTTGTTGTTACAGAAAAATAAAATAAAAAAATGAACTAGGATTTTACCTTATCTGCCATCATTTCTTGAATTTGAGCAACATCACTAGAGATTCCATGCATGATGTCACTAGTACTTATTTCCGTGTCGAAAAATCCAATGTCCTGTCTCAGAACACCTCGTAAATACTCTGTTCTTATCCTATGAGCCGATCTTTCACCCACCATCCTCCAACAAGTAATCTCTGTCCATCAGCCAAATTTATTTTTTTGGTAATTATTAGAAACTCGATAGATAGGATAATAAATGAGAACCAAAAAAAAAAAAAAAGCGCGTTTTTGTTACCTAAGTAAGCTCCGAGCGAAACTAGGACAGCCAATCCAGTCATAAGTAGACATATCTTATCCACTTCCTTCATCATCTCATTTTTGTCCTGGTCTTGTCCTAGAGCAAGTTTGTTGACAAATTTCCCGAAAAGAAACGAATACCAAGGAAGTGACCCTCCATTGATAAAAGCTCCCAAACATCCGAACATTATAAGTACTAAATCCAGCTTCGTCGAATACCTAAACAAGCTAAATATTCCAACCGATTTTGGCGCCACCTCATCCTCCTCCTCCACGTCATCATGCTCTTCCACAAACTCCGGTTCTTGGTCAAACCCCGCGGTTGACTTTCTATGGTGGCTTTCTTGATGGTAATGACGACTATTATTAGCAAATTCCAAATCATCATCGTCGTCATCATAATAGTGATGATCCACGTCAGCATTCTCGCCTGCATAAGCATGTGAAACAGAGAACCATCTAGGATCTTGATCATGCTGCTTGTGGGCCCCATGATCGGACAAAGGGCCCACATTTCTAACACTCCCTTCTTTGATAGTAGACAAAACAGGACTTTTGCCAGGCCTGCTAATATTACCATTAGCCCTCGAAACGTAGCTTTGGAGCTCGATTCTCCCCGACGGCAAATGACCATAGTAAGAATTTGAATTCTCGTAATCCTCATAATTGTTTGTATTACCGTAAGTGTGGGAAAGGTAGTAATCATTGGCTGATCGGTTGACAACTCTGGTAATGAAAGGAGTGGTGGCTGATGAATTATTTGATGTCCATGGGCTAAGTGCCGCCCCGAGGTTTCGGCTTTCTCGCCAGCCTGTCGGCTCCAGCTGCCACGACAGCTGTCCCTGCCATGACCGGTCTTCGTCGGTGGCGAAAGGGGTCGCCGGAGTAGGGTTCCGCCGCCTCCACGGGGACCGGTTATGGGAGAAAATGTGGGAGCTCGAGCTTGAAAACGAGGCGGAGAAATGCTGAGACCTCGCCGGAGTAGTGTGCCTTTGCCGCCGCCTTGGCGGCTCGATCGAATGATCAGCCATGAATGCGTAGAATAGTAGCTATAAAATATTTAGCTACAGAAAAACATAAGTTGGGAACTAATTACTACCATTATTGTAATCAAGAAAGTAAAACTATTACTTAGGAGAAATCGCCTTCTTTTTTTTTTCGATGGTTCAGATGTTTGGGATTTTCCTCAAGAAATAATGACTGGTCAGGTCTTCATATGATGTATTGTTGTGATTTCATTTTGTAATAATTACTGGAGTTATCTGCATGCGATTATATTTTAAAATGATTTTATTTATAATATTGTATAATAGTTTTGGCAGGCCGGCTCATATTAGCGCCGGCAAGCATTGGTCTGGATGTGTGTTATTTTGTTAAGAGCAAAATATAATGGGCAAATTACGGCCACCACCCCGAGCTATGGTCAAATTACGAAAAACCTCCTCATGTTTGGGTAATGACAGCCACTCCCTCAACTACGTATTATCTTACGAAGTCTAGGGATATTAATTCGGTAAAACCGAACGGAAATTTCGGTACGCCAATATTTTATACTGTTCACCGAGCTAAATATACGATTTGGTTCGGTAAATAACCGAATTACATAAAATTTATGTAAAAATATCTAAAAAGAGGGGGTGACTGTAATTACCCAAACAAGAGGGGTCTTTTCGTAATTTGTTTATACCTAGGGGTGGCTGTAATTAGCCGAAATATAATTGAAAGTAACGTTTCACAAAAGTTGTGGCAATGTTTTTTCTTCTTGTTTCTTTTTGTTTCATCGGTCCAGCTGGTTTTCTTTAAAAGGACGCTCCAATGGCAATATGAGAGCATCGATACAATCTACAATGTTAATTTCATTAACTGAAGCATCCTGGTCTGGTAATGAACCGAAATTCGAACACGTATTTGCGTCTGATAAGTTATGCTTCATCCATGTTTGGCTCGATTAAAACTCGGTTCGAGATTGACTCGATTGCTCATTTACACGCTTAAATTGAGATTGATATTCTTGATTTTTTTTTTTACTTTTCTTGACTAAACGGTCTCAAATAGATGATGATATGAGCTAATGTTGGACCATTAGAAGTGGTCAATAGTCAACAACTTATAATATATACCCAAATGGCATGCTAATCTGCACTTTTATGTTTTATTATGATGAAATTTCCAAAATGATTAATGCAAAATCAAATAAAAAAATAATAATTTGGATAAGACAAACCCGGAGTTTGATCCCCGTTATCAATGCATTTTACATAGTTTTTCAGTATAATTTATATTTTTTACTTGATTCGTGACGAGTCGCATGAGAACGAATTTATTCAGTGGACATATATCAACCGTATTTTTTTTAAAAGAGAAAATAATTTCTCAACATCAAAATTATTGGGCTTGCTAGTGAGCTTCTTGGTCTTGTAGGCCGAACTTTAACTTTGAAGTACATATAGGACCACCTTAGGCCCATGAGGTATAAAAGATATTAGTCTAAATAATTCGAATTTAAATTGGAAATGTGTGACCTTGACTATTGCCACCGACCATTTAATTGAATTTACATCTAAGCTTTACCTTTTAAAAAAATAATAAAAATAAGCGAAAAATGGAGGGGGGGAAATAATTTTTTTTCAAGATCTTAGAATTATTGGAAAAATGTGTAAAATGGATGGTAATGATTTGGTGTGGTAGGGCACAAATAAAGAAGAAGAGGGTGAAGGCAAGAAAACTTAATTGCCATCCATGTGTATCACAAGTTTGTAGCTTATGTTGTACATTATTTAAGAGGCGTAAAATTGAATGATCGTTGGCAAGTGAATATGAACTTAAATCAATTAACAGAGGCTCATTTGCTCCAATCTGCAGTAGAAGTATTTCGCCACCAATATTGGTGGTGGAGCGACACAATTTGTCTTGTCACTCTCACTTTATTTATTTTTATTTATAAGATAGCCGTTGAAATAAGTGTTTTCCTAGGGATTTAAGAAAATGACCTCGTTTGTTATAGTGGTCCAATATTTCAATCAATTAGGGGTTCACAAAATTTAAAATAAAAAAAATTATCAAGAAAAAATAAAATAAAAATAACAATAAGAAGTAATCTTACATGACAAGTTGACAACTGTACACTAGTCCACATGATTTTGAGACTTTGTGCCCTGCTACAAAAGTTCAAATTAAAATTAATATTAAATTAGCTTTTACCAAGAATGTCGACTTTATTTATAACTAATCAATTGCATTTAAATCCTACCCAAATCGTCTCTTCACATTAATCAAATAAACCTTTCACTCTTACATTTCATATGATATGTCTTCTCAATTTTTGGTGCATATTGTTTTTTTAATAAATATGTATAAATTAATAATTTTTTTTTACATATGTAATAATTATTTATTTATTAATTAGAAGTATAGGGCAAAATTAAGTAATAACACAGTCACCTCTTTTTTTTTCTTTCAAATTTTGTATTTACTATTAATTCATCGTAAAATATTTCAATAATAAGCCAAAAAAAAAAAAATTATGCAATATAATTTTAATTCATTGGACTTAATTTGACAAGAAAAGTAACAGGCGTGGGTATTTCCGTCATTTCAAAGTTACCACCATTGGAGACTGTCTCTTTTGTCTTTTCATCCCCCGCAGTTAAGATTTCAAACACTACCTTCCATTACAGCACACAGAAGAGAGAGAGAGAGAGAGAGAGAGAGAGAGAGAGAGAGAGAGAGAGAGAGGAGAGAGAAAGAGACAACAAAAGTGAATAAGCAAAAAAGAGTACTGTAAATGAAAAAAAAAAAAAAAAAAATCTAAACTCATTATTATTTGTCTGTATACGTAATTTTTCATCAAAGAGTACACCACCACTCCATTCTTCATCCTCCACTTCCCACTTTCTCTCTCTATACATATATACATTATGTATGTATGTAATATAATATTCCAATAGAGGAGCTGAGAAAGAAAGAAAGAAAGAAAGAAACAGATACATACATTATACATACACTCTCCATTTCTACTAAAGAAAAAAAGGAGTAAAGCGAAAACCTCAGCCCGCATTTGTAGGGTTTTTTTTTTCTGAAGAAACCCACCCCCAAATCCCTACGCATTCTCCAATTAAATAATCATTGTAAGAAATTTTGTAGATAATTAACCTCGAAATCCGACAATCGTGCTCCAGGATTGAAGATCTCCGTATTGACATTGTTGACAACCGTGTCTGAATTTTCTCGATCGAACTTCACGAGTTTCTGCAAGTGAGTTAATGTGGATTCATTAGTGTTCTGTTTCCGAGTCTGCTGAGCTGACACACTGAGTTGTTTGAGTTTTGTTTGCTTAATAATTAGATCTGAGTTTAATTAGATTTTATGCTAATTTTTTCTGATTGATTTTGTATCTAGTTTAATTCGAGGTGCATTTTCCAATTGATAAGATCTTCAGTTGAGATCTTGCCTCGATTTTTCGTAAGGTTGTCTTAATTCTATCTGAATACATGATCACTTTTGGAAATGCTTTCATTTATGTAAATGGGGTTTAATTCTAACTTCTAAAAGTGGAATGCAGGTGATTAATTTTATGATTTATTCAAATAATAGTTACGATTCCACCGATAATGGAGAAGATGAAAATGGACGCCCCTCTCGATTTTGCTGTATTTCAGCTTTCACCGAAGCGTTCAAGGTGAAGAACATTGCTTGGTGTAATTATCATTAGAGAGGAAATAAAAATTTGATTAATTAATTTAATTTGAGGTTTCGTTTTTTTTTTGGGGGCAGATGTGAATTGTTCGTTTCTAGGGGTGGAAGCACGGAGAAACTCGCTTCGGGATTGGTTAAACCATTTATCGCACATCTTAAAGTTGCGGAGGAACAAGTTGCCTCTAATGCACAATCGGTTAAGCTCGAAATCGGACGACGTAGAAATGGCGAAGCATGGTTCACTAAGGGAACACTTGAGAGGTAATGCATTTTATTTTAAAGTAATTTTTAATCAATCACACCAATTTACATCGAAAACTAACATTGCATTAATTGTTTATTTTGTTTCAGGTTTGTACGATTTGTAAGCACGCCTGAAATTTTGGAATTGGTGAATACGTTCGATGCAGAGATGTCACAGTTGGAAGCAGCCCGAAGAATTTATTCCCAGGTAATATTTTTTCTTCATCGATGATTTATTTCTCTCCTAATTAAATATAAAAATCTAAACTACCCGCGGCCTCGTGTATTTCAGGGAGCAGGAGATCAACTTTCTGGTATGAGCTCCGATTATTACTTGTTTAATCTATTTCTAACTAAGTTAAATTATAATTACAATGCATAGTTTCGTTTCGCAATTGCTAATTTTTCCCGAGATATTAAATTTTAGTGTAATTTTCACTCGAAATGCTTAATGGAAGTAATTCTATTGGTCCAGGTGGAAGTGGATCCGGGGCGAAAGCTGCAGATGATGCCACAAAGTATATATTCCCCTCTCTTCGCTTATTTAATTTAACTCTTATGGCTTGGTTTGGTTGGGACGAGTAACCATGATTAACTAAATAATTGGGCTTTGTTTGATGTCTGGTAATACAATTGAGTTATCTTCGATTATTTAATTTTATCTTGTCAACTCTTATCTTAGGAATCGAACGAGGTTTGATTGTACATTGTCGATTGTTGTAAAATTATTTTGCTCTCTTATTAGTATTTTGGTCTTAATTTTATAGGAAGGAGCTTCTAAGAGCTATAGACTTGAGGCTTGCGGCGGTGCAGCAAGACCTTTCGGCCACATGTGCGCGGGCTGATGCTGCTGGTTTCAATGTCGATACCGTTTCCGAACTTCAGATGTTTGCTGATAGATTCGGGGCTCATCGCCTTAAGTAAGGATTCTCTATCAACTTCTATCGCTAATTCCGATATCATTCCGATTTTTCTTTTTTGGATTGGAATTGGAATATAACTATATGAGATTCCGATTTCTCATTTACAACCTGGTTTCGTTTCTGGAAAAAAATCCAAAATTTCCGTTTTTTTCCCCCGAAATTTACCTTGAAATTTTTCGAATTCCGCCGATTCCATTACGATTTTTTTTTTTATTTTGAATTAAGTTTTTCCATTCCAAATTTCTTTTCAAAAATAAAAAAAAAATAAAAAAAATAAAAAATAAAATAATAATTGGTTCGTGCGTGTTTGCAGCGAAGCTTGCGGCAAGTTCATATCGCTGAGCGAGAGGCGGCCCAATCTCATCAACCAATGGAAACCCGGACCCGAAGACCGGGCGCTCCGTTCCTCTTGCGGGTCGGATATGTCCATCGACGACGACTCACTGCCGACCCGCCACGATTCCGCCACGTGTCAGCCGTCCGACCCCCCTCCTGCAACCACCTTCCCCTCACGCCGACCTTTCAGCAGAGAATCCAGCGTCGAAGAAAAGGACGACGGAGATAATAAGTGGAACGACGCGTTTGGGGAGAAGGAGACGAAGGACGACGCGCCGGTTCAGGCGAGTCACCACGCGAGGCGACTCAGTGTTCAGGACAGGATTAGCTTGTTCGAGAACAAGCAGAAGGAGAATTCCGGTGGTAAGCCCGTCGTGCCGCCGGCGAAGCCTGTCGAGCTGCGGAGGCTGTCCTCCGACGTGTCGGCGATGGGGTCGGCGGCGGCGGCGGTGGTGCTGAGGAGGTGGAGCGGCGCCAGCGACATGAGCCTCGATTTGGGCGTCGAAAAGAAGGATGCCGAGATTCCGGCGGTTTCTCAGGAAAACAAGGGTTTGAATTTGAATGATGGAATAGTAAAGAACTCTTCTGTTGTTAAAACAGAGATTAAGGTAATTCCTGGTTTAATTAGGAATAATTCCGAGCATTTTACAAAGTCAAATTCCGATTTGGTTAGTGGTGGAAGTAGTGGGATGAATGATCGAATGTTCGGCAGCAAGACTCAGTCAAGGTCTTCTTCTACTATTAGCCTGGCTGAGAATCTAGATAATTCAGAAGAGAGGTCCACTGTTTTTCGTGGTGAAAGTGTGAGCGATTTTCTGTACGGCCATTATCAGGGCTCTTCGGTCGAAAAATCTTCGTCTGTTAAACAGAGAGGTGGCAGAGAAGATTCTGAATCGCCGGTTGACACCGACGAGCAGACAAATTTGAAGCTGAGTCGGAGTAATACAGGAGAGTCTGGTTCGAGAATCCGGGATGCTTTTGCTGCTCACTCTAAGGAAACCGAATCATTCGAAAAGAAACAGTTACGGAGTTTTGAAAAGGCATCCAGTGGTTCTGTTTCAGAAGTCGAAGATTCCAGACCTCAAAGGCTGAAGTTCAATCGGAAGGCAAACGCCCAACCCGACGAAATACGTCTCGACGGAAAAAGCATGGCATCGTTTCCCGGCAAAATCAGAGCAGAGTCTGAAGAAGGCTTGGATTCCTTTTCGACCCCACCTCCAGAGCAAGCTCAAAGGGCAAAACGCCAATCGAAGGGAAATCAAGAACTCAATGACGAGTTGAAGGTGAAAGCGAACGAGCTCGAAAAGCTCTTTGCCGAGCATAAACTTCGAGCCCCCGTAGAACAATCCAATCCCAAGCCAAACGAACCTAGTGGGGGTTCGAAGAACAAGAGCAAGCCCAATGCTGCTCCATCATCTCTCGTGAAAGCAATCGATAGCAAGAACTATGGTGATGATGCTTTGAAGAAGAGTTTTTCGGAGCTTGGTGTTTCAGAGGGCTCTCGAGGGAAATCGTACGACACGTATATTAAGAAAAGGGATGCAAAGCTGAAGGAAGATTGGAGTTCTAACAGAGCCGAGAAAGAAGCCCGATTGAAATCTATGCACGATAGCCTCGAGAGAAATAAATCTGAAATGAAGGCCAAATTTTCGGGTTCTGCGGAAAGAAATGCTTCGGTATCTAGCGCTCGTCGGCGTTCTGAGAGGCTGAGATCATATAATAGCAGGTCGAATATGATTAGTGAGCAGGTAGATTTATATTATATGACACTAATTAATTAAAAAAAAATATTTATTAGGGTTCTTGACCAACAGTGTAAGAGTTTTATTTTGACAGCAATATTTAGGTTTTGGGGATAGCGATGAAGACGACGATGAAGGCAGAGCTTTTGATGACAGCTCAGCACAGGGGAAGAAGGTTTTACCTAGTAACAGAAACTTGTCTTCGTCTATTCCTATTCTACCTCGTACCTCGGCAGTTTCTGCTCCAAGATCTGCTGTTAAAACCTCGACCAATAATTCGATGAAACGAAGAGCACAGCCTGAGAATCCACTCGCACAATCTGTACCAAATTTCTCCGACCTGAGAAAAGAAAACACGAAGCCTTCTGTAGTGAGTTCTAAACCGACTCGTTCGCAAGTAAGAAACTATGGCCGAAGCAAAAGCACTAGCGAAGAAGCTGCTTTAGCTGTCAAGGAGGAAGTTGTTGTTAAAAATGCGGGAACCAAGCCTTTCCTTAAAAAGGGCAGCCGTGCTCGAACGAGTGTTGTAAGACATAACAAGGCTTCTTCTCTGGGGTCCGAGCCTGTAAGAAACGCAGACGAAAACGATGACGTGGCGGCGGAAGAATTCGAGAGTAGTGCTGCTGTTGTTGTTATTAAAGATGACGAGGAGGAAAGAGAATCCGAGCCCTCCAACACAGAAGATGCGGACAAGATTTTAGAACCCGAGGAGCCGAGTTTAGATAAATTCGAGAATTCCGGATCGGAAGATGGTGACGGCGATGATGATGTCTCTCTCGGATTTTCTCGAGTGGACCATGTTTTGGGCAGGTCGTCACAATTGCCTAACGAAAGCCCGATTTCTTGGAATTCGCATGCGCAGCAGCATCAATATTCGTATCCGCACGAGATTTCCGATATTGATGCTTCGGTTGATTCCCCTGTAGGAAGCCCTTCTTGGAGTTTGCATTCGTTGAAACTAATGGAGGCCGATCGAATGAGGAAGAAATGGGGAGCGGCACAAAAGCCGACTTTACTAGCAGCAGCAGCTCACTCGTCCAATAGTAATAACAATTCGTCGCGCAAGGATATGACCAGGGGGTTTAAGAGGTTACTGAAATTCGGGAGAAAAAATCGTGGATCGGAGAATTTGGTTGACTGGATTTCGGCTACTACGTCTGAAGGAGACGACGATACGGAAGATGGACGAGACATTGCCAATCGGTCGTCGGAAGATCTGAGGAAATCGAGAATGGGATTCTCTCATGCTCAATCCTCGGATTATGGATTCAACGAGAGCGAGTTTTTCAACGAATCAGGTGGTTTTATGGTATCTCTTTATATACTATTGTTTTGCGGCGCGTAGTTTATTCATGGCTAGTAAAAGCAGAGGCTTCTTGTTGATTGTGTTTATATATCGTTTTGCTTATTGCAGTACAATCTTCACTGAGTTCAATCCCGGCACCTCCACCCGATTTTGAATTAAGAGATGATCATGTTTCCGGAACCTCAATTAAAGGTGACGTATGGAAATATAATATTTTTCTTCGTTTCAAATTTAAATACATTCCAAGAAAACATGTCGCCTTATTGCTCGATTGATGCCTTGTTTAATGTAAACTAATTGATTATTACGAATATTTGTCGGCAACTTAGCATGTTTTATGCTAATTACTTTGTTTTTACAGCTCCGAGATCGTTTTTCTCGTTATCAACATTTAGGAGCAAGGGAAGCGAGTCAAAGCTTCGATAATTCCCACGTCACTGTACATTTGCTCCGATTTGCCTTCGCCTGATGATATTGGGATTGCCTTCCAGATGAATATAACGGTAATTGTTGTATATGCTCGTTTGTCGAGTTTTAGTTATTGCAATATGAGTGGATAAGAGTTCCGATTTGCGGTACATCAATATGTGATTTTTTGTAGTTGAAAGCGTTCTTTTATGCAATTGATGTGTTCGATTTTATTTATTTATTTTTGAATCATATGTATGTATGACCTTAAATCATACGCGTATTCGTGAAAGACGAAATACGAAATTGTAATAATATAAAACACCAGAATCTGGACTTTCGAACGAAGATGTTCTTCGGCCGTAGGAAGCTTTCGAAACTGAAAAAAATGAAAGCTAAACATACTTGCTTCATTGCAGAGTATTACAAAACCACTTATTTACATTAGAAAACTAAAAAAAAATTCCTAAAATAAAAAATAAAATAAAATAAAGAGAGCATCTCTTTCTTCACAAAGAAGGGAAGGACGACTAACTTCTCTCTCGAATCTTCTAGAAGCATTTTCTGGATCCTAACACATGATACTATGTTTTTTTTTACCTCCCATATTTATTGCATGTAAGAACCCAATTAGGGTTTATCTATTTACAAAAATATACATGTTTTTTTTTTTTCTTTTTTTTACTCACAAATTTGTTACTTCCTTTTGAAATGTACTCAACGATCCATAGAATTTAGCATTATGATCCTGGCAAACAAAAAGTTAGCAAATGTTAAGGATGTTTGAGATAGGATGATACTCTAAATACGAAATTCTTGGAGGACTAAAACGATAAAAGGGCATGAAGGTAAATTTGTAGCTGAGAACCAACCAATCATAAACAGCCTTACTCTCTGTCTCCGAGTTCAGAAACGCCCCGGATTTCGGTTTTCTCCTCGTGAATTTCCTAAAATTCCCACCAGGGGTACTCGCTAGAACACCCACAAAGAAATAAAAAATTAGAAAAAGTACCCCACAAAACCAAAATGTTTTCAAACACACCCCTAACATTTTCATGCAAAAAAAAAAAGAAAAAAAAAAGAAAAAAAAAAAAAAGAAAGAAAGATCGTACGTGAAAATGGGGAGCACGGAGTGGTGGAGCCCGTAGGAGAAGAAGGATCGGGTGGGGAGTCAACGGAAACAGTTAGGTTACGATGAGCATTATCCCTTCGTACCATGGTGATGCTTCTAGTGATCGGGATAAGGTGGTCGTCGGACGGCACCGCCACTCCCACCACCGGAGCACCGGTGGACTTGGTGGCTGAGAGAGAGTTGTATTTGCGAAGTTTTCCGAGGCCTGTGTCCGGTGCGGGCCCGGCCAACGTTTCATCCCAAAGTTTGTCTAGAAATCCCATAATTATGTCAAAACAAAACAAAACTTTTTTTTTAATTTTTTTTTTTTTTTTGCTTTTATTTGTTTACTATTTATTATCTTTTGTAACAACCGAAAATAGGTGATGAACTCAATTTAAATTTGTGGGGGCACCACCAGATATACGACTGTTACAAAGAAGATTTAATTGTGGTCTTTTTTTATTATTATGCAAGAAGAAAAAAAATTACTAGGTAACAAAATGAATTAGGGTTTTTATAGGAGGTTATTGAAGAAGTTTGGGTTAAAATGAAATTAATGGTTCCTAAGAAAGCTTTCTTGAAAACCATTGACTCTTCATCCACTAATCTTTATGTGAGAAAAAAACAGTCAATTTTATGTTGAAGATGGACCTCTAACTCGTACATTTCCTTTTTAAGGAATGGTACACAATATACATATATGTATATCGTAGGGGTTGTTACATTTGATGAAATATTAGTGTTAACCACAAATTTTTTAGTCTGCAAAATATAAATACGGGACAAGAAAAATAGGAATAAATAAATATATTAATCAAAAGAAACGGACTACAATCTCCAGAAATCCACTGATTCTTGTCTCGTATTCTGAATTTGATTCAAGATCTTAGAAGCATATTCTCGAATCGAATGAACATAATGATTTCATCGAAAGTATGGGGAAGAGATCATGAACACTTGGATTCAAATTTGTTATAAACTCGCCGTTGAGACTGGATTTGTTCGTCTATGTAAGTCTTTTTTTTCTTTCATGCACCGAATGCCTTTCTTTTATAAGCACAAACTATGATTTCTTGGCTTGTAGCATGTAATTTTCCACATTCGATTTATTTACAATCACACACATAGACTTTTAGCCTTTAGGCATATGCACCAAATGTTACAAATCAAAGTAACTTTGTTTCTCTTTGAACCCTCTTAATATTTATTTAAGGTTGAGCACGTCGCTCTCATGGATAGCTCAATTGGTTTCGAAGGTGGTAAATTGGTTCAAAGACCTAGGATCGAATATTTGCAGCCGTAGTGTGAAAATTTCAGCTCCAATAAGGATTGCTTCCTCGTGGGCACCAAGTTCAAGTCCGCTACCTTAACGGATCGTTGAGTCACCGTGATTTACATCCTCCATCAAACCCGTCGGGCCATGTGACGAGGGATTTCGTCTTTTGGTGCAAGATTGAGCACGTTGAACGATCTTATAGAAATGATGATCAATAATTTAATTGCAACTTGAGTGATCTTACAAATCTTTATGATTAGAGCAGATCTTTTTAAAGGATTCAATTTTTAACTTATCTTTTGGTAATCTACATAATCATAATAAATCAAAATGGGAATAATTATATGTTCAAATAATCACCTAAAGTGGATTGTATATATTTAAATTAGTGGTGCACAAATACAAGTTGCACAAGTTGGAGGTGCAAAAGACAATTAAAATAAGAGATATGTAGAAAGGGTGGTGGGGTGTATATACAAATAAAATTTAGCAAGTTGCAAAATTTGAAGGGCCACTGCGCAATTATTGAGCTCAAATTGAAAGAAGGTTGGAAACACAAAGAAGGTGTTGACTGTTGGAAAAGAAGCAGAGAACTTTGGTCTTGTTTGAAAATTAACAGGTTTATTTGATGCTTCACGCGATGAAACACACCGGGTGATTGTTAGTCGTTGATCTGCACATAATTCAAACACACACACACCCAGTATATGTGTGATTCGTGGGAAGTTATTTCACCTCAACAATAGTTACAAAAATCAGCTAATGTATTTTATCGGGTGTAGCAGCATCTCAATGATTCGATTTATAGGGGATTGAAAAGATAGAAACTAAATAATATTACATGATTTTATTTTATTCTGTTTAATTGAGGGGTAAAAATCGAATGAACTGTAGCCCGAATGAATTTTCACTTGAAAATAATAGAAAGTGAAAAATTATTCCAAAATCGAAAATTTAAGAAATTGAAAAAAAAAAAAAACTTGTTCGAAATATAAAAAAAAAATCAAAATCGGCAAAATTCAAAAATTCTATTTTTTTCATTCATGTAACTAATAAAATAGATGATGATATTGTGCTACAATTGTAAATTTTTAGAAGAAAACATAATTTTTGGAATTATTTTCAAAATTAAAAATCAAGATTTTCAAAGTTCCAAAATGGAAAAAAATTATAAATTGAATAAAAACTACATTATGATTATAAAATCCAAGAACAAGAATGTTACAATTCTTAAACACAAAATATTACAAGAACACTAAATTAGAAAACCAAATAAAACAATGTCTCAAAAAGAGACATAAAAAACCACATTCATAAATTACAATAAAACCCCCCACAAAACCTTCAAATTTCAAGTGATGACATCACCCTTTGTTGCCCTTGCAACTCACCACCTTCTCCCTCTCCTAGTATTCTTTCTCCGGCTACTCTCGCCGCGTTGATGTGTCTCCGACGATCCAATGCAGAACCCTTGGAACGGGGAAGCAATTTCAGCCCTCCGATCGCCGGAGCTCATCCCAGTTGAATTCGATCCAACGGTCGATGATGAGCAAGGAGTGTCACTCTCGAAGAGCTCATTGTAAAGTTCTTGCAGCTCTTCAAAACTCTCTTTTTTTCCGTTCTCCTACCAAAATTAATAAATTCAAACTTAATAAATAAATTAAAAATCCTAATCTTTTAATATGCATAATGTACTACAAAAAGAATATGCGGTGTCGAATTTATAATTCGGAAATTATCGATATGGGCTCTTTAAAACATTATCTGATTTACAATCCAAAACTATAGGACCACTTTGGTATGAATGTCTTATGTCGCGATATTCAATTATCGAAATAATAATAAATAAATAAATAAATAAAAAAGGAGAAATTAAACCATAAGAAAAATGTGACAATAAACCACCAGTAAGAAGAACTCACATCAGATTTAGATTGGCTCATCATTGCTGTCATTTCATTCAAGAAATCGCCCATACCCTGCGTTTTTTCGGTCCCAATAGAACGAGCTAGTTATTGTCAATCATATGAACTTGATTTAAATTAAATAAAACTCATTTAATGACAAAATGATTTATTTCTTCAATTAAAAAAAAAAAATCATCAATCTAATAATATGATCACCAATAACCCAATTTAATTTTGATTCTAAAGGGCCAATTCCATCTTTTCAACATTTGATAATTACCGTTCCGATTCTTTCTAGTAGGGCATTATCGACAGAAAAAGTGTGTGCGTGTGCGCGCGTGTGTGCGCGTGTGTGTAAATATGGAGTCAGTGGGCCATACATTTTCGTCATCGTCGTCATCGCAGTCGTAAACTCCTACGTCATAAAGGAACCTTTTGTTGCCATCCGAAAGTACTAAAAAAGAAAATATCAACAGCATTTTTTTCATGAGTCCAATTACCATAATTCAAGATTATATAAATAAATCACTTCCAATTAATCACTTATAACTCAAGATGGAACAAAATCATAACTCACCATATATTAATATATAAAAAGAAAAGGGAATCCCACAAAATGAAATGTGATGATAAAACTTTTTTGATCATGTGAATCTCTGCAATCAGAATCAACACCAAACAATCCAAACCATGTTAACACTAATTAGCTGCTTAATTCTCATTTATACATAATCAACACCAGTTTTTAAACATAGCTATGAAAATTATCCTGCTCTAAAGCTATGTTTTATTGTTAGGTAATTATGCATGAAAATAAAACAAGCAAAAGTTTTATATATATAAAATATATATAAGATACAAAATTACCAGAATAGGCTTGCTGAATGGCTTGAAATTTTGTCTTTGCCTCTTCCACATACTTAGTATTCCCCGAAGCAGAGAGGCGATCCGGGTGCCATTTCTATTAAACAAAAAATAATTAAATTCACAAATTTCGATCAGAAAAAAAAAAAGATTAAATTTTTATTTTTAGAAAAATAAAGAAAAATTTGAGACCAGAGCAAGTTTCTTGTATGCATGCTTGAGCTCGGGTAGGGTGCATTCTTTGTTGAGCCCTAAAATGTTGTAAAAATCTTTGCTTTTGTTATCTCCCTCAGCTGCCATTTTTATTTTTATTATTCCTCAATCAAGAAAGAAAGCCCACCAAATAAATCAACTCAAAATTCAATCTTTTCTATCAAAGATTCTATTTTTATTTATTTATATAACTATATACTTACTAGTATAGAAATATTTTTCTTCTACCTAATTATTGCTAAAAGATTACGACAACACATAAACTTTAGCATGTTGTAGTAAAATGGATTTAGAGAGAGAAAAATGAAAGATGGACAACACTCTCTCTCTAGAGAAGCCTCCAGAAGCAGACTTAAAACTTAGAAGTATGCAGCTGGTTTTTATACTGATTGGATTTTTCAAGAAAATTATTAAAAATAGAAATTGTGGGGTTAGTGATCAACGGCTGAGATTGGATTAGAGGTAGATATTTTGGATGGGAGTCTCCAGAAACTTCCCTATTTAGTATGCACTGTTTTTTAACTCAGGCTTGCTTTTATTTCTTGGCCTTATTACAGCATTTATTTATTATTATTTGCATCTATTACCATATTTTTCATGATATTTTCATCTTTTTTCATTAAAAAATATATGTCACCACAAGTTTTGGTGGCCTCACAAGTTTTAATAATAATAATAATAATAATAATAATAATAATAATAATAATAATAATAATACAAAAAGTAATTAACACGTCTCTATATTTTTTAACTCGACTAAAATTTATCGAACTTTCATTTCTGAATTCTCTAGTACAGTTTGTTGAGCTCGAACTCATTTTGTTTTTTTTAATTTTTATATAATTACTTTAATATTATAATAAAAATAAACTATTCTTAATTAATTGGTTTTATATTATTAATTTGAGATTAGAACAAAAAAAACAATGATTGTTGATACTTGTATGTGAAAAAATTATGGTTGGTTGTAATTTGTAAAGGATATGTGTCGAGTTGACTTGAATGAGCAAAAAGTCTATTTATGACGTTATTTATTTGATTATTTAAAATATTATTAATTTCAGAAGTGAGAACGATTGGTCTTTTGTAGTCGGCCCAACTAAAATATTTTTTTGTACAATGAAAAAATCTTCGATGATGGTTTCTTTCTTTCTTTCTTTCTTTCTTGCATGTGTATGGTGTCTGAAATTTGAAGTGTGATGGACCAAGTAATAAGTGGTCCCAAGAGGAGAGTGCCCCACGTGATCTTCAGTCTCAATGTACTCCTAATCACGTGCCCTCAGATGCTTAAGAGGCCCGGCTACCATTGTCTCTCTCTCTCTCTCTCTCTCTCTCTCTCTCAATCAATCACAAGTCACAACAAAGTAAAGATCATCATAAAATCACAAAGGTAATGTTAGAGAAATAAATGTGTCCCACTAAGAATCCCCTGCTGCTGCTGCTGCTGCTGCTGCTGCTGCATTAATTATGGCAGATTTGATGGTTCCAGGCAAACCCCATTTCATCAAACTAATTTGACACGTGGACAATGTAATCATAATCCAATGCAATCAAAATCTTTATCAATGTTCCCAAACAAGGCCTATTGGTGTTGAAGATTAGTACTTGTTATACGAATAGAATTTCAGTTCGGCATGGTTGGATAAACTGAAGACAAAGATAAAGAACACCGAATTCGTTACCTTAAAACATGAATCTTTCGGACTTAATCGAAATGTGTAATCTTACTGTAAGCAGTTCCACAACATTCACTCCAATTGTAAGCTTATTATTCTTCTTCTACTAGTGTGTGTGTGTCTCTAAGCAGTGATTCGGTTAATCCTCGGTTCTCAAAGCTCTAATCCAATCGATCTCGAGTTGAAAATCGCCTGGGCCAGTAATAGCACCTGGCACACCACCTTCGGCATTGACCGACAGAGACATGCCGACAACTCTAGCTGGGTTCATCTCCAGATTTTCTTCTATGACATTACCTCTCCACGTAGGCAGATATCGGGCAAGGGGAATCTAATCAATACCGCATACAATACAGCTCGTCAAATTAATATATATAGGTCCACGTTTTCGTCTATAATCTCCCTAATTAATTGAGTAAAGTCTTTTGCTGAAAGAACATTCGGGAAAACAAAATACTAAGGCAAGGTGGTCAAACTGATACTTTCTAGTTTTTCGTTTTAGGAATATGAAACATGCATAAATACTTGTGTGTGTGTGTGTGTGTGTGTGTGTTTGTGTGTGTGTGTATGTGTGTGTGTGTGTGAGAGAGAGAGAGAGAGAGAGAGCGCTTGCCTTTGCAATATACCAGCTGTCTTTGGGCACAAAAACAAATGCCTGCCACGAGTTATCTTCCTCTTGTCCAGGAGAATTCACCCAATTCTCTGTATAAATCTGTATCGGGGTTAGATGAAGAACCGATTAGCTTAAACCATGGTTAAACATTTGTATCATTTTAGGTGGTTGCAAGTGCACAACATTGCCAACTTCAAATACTTAGTCAGTAAACCGAAACTTTGTTGACATCCCCAGAGTATTATATCAAGTTCATATGTTACTCACAGTCGAAATATAGCATCTCCCATCTCCTTTAAGTTTTAGGGCTAATGTGTCGTACGCATCCAAATCAATGAACCCATCAAACTGCAAAACAAGTGGACAAGAAATCGGATTCAACACAGATTATCGCAAACTTATTTACGTCTCCTACTAGAAAAATAATCGAAGATATGTAGATATCTTTGAAGCTTTATATAGACTCCAACCCCTCAAATACAAAATGCGGTTTTAGAAAATTTGTTGTTCGTGAAGAAAAAAAATTGAAATGTCATCCAACGCATTACGAATATCCTTTACCCTCTTAGATCTCATTCCACAGAAGCCACTTCTACTTATATTCCACTTTGAACCTTCATCGACGTCCAATGAAAGGTTTCCAGAGAATAAACCTATAAGGTTAAACAAAACAGAAAATGTTTTATATTAAAAATGATGCACAAATTGAAGTAAACACAGCGTACGATATAAAATGGCTGTAATATTGAAGACTTTGCAGTGAGTCCCAAATGATTTATGCAAACAACAACTACATTCCGAAGAAGAAAGAGATATACGAGGAAAGAACAAAACTGTGATAACCTCCTTAATTCATATTAAAGGACATTGAACGGAGACTACAATTCCTTTCTGATACGAAATTTAGAAACCACAAGGGTACTTTTCAATGAAGCTACAAATAGTTCGTCTATAAATTGTTTCACTATTAGTGAAGCAAAATCACAGAAAAACGTAAACTATATAGCACATGCTTTTTGCTAAGAATTGCTGAGACGTTCAAATCTTTTTTTTTTAACATTTTTTAACACTTAAATATATAGTATTGCAAATATAGTATTGAAGATGTTTATCCTTACGTAGCCAAAAAATAGTTCACCTAAACACTATTTTACTATTTTTTGCACGGTAAAGCAAAATCACAAAAATGCATATACTTCAATAATAGCACACATTTTTTGCTAAAATAACTGAAATGTTCAAATTTTGTTTTAATATTTTTTAACAGTCATATGTATAGCATAGAAGATGTTAATACATAAGTAATCAAAAAATAGTTTATCTAAAAATTGTTGCACTAAATTATGAAAAATCAAGCAAAATCACAAAAATCATATACTGTAGCACACGTTTTTTGCTAAAATCGTTGAAATATTGAAATCTTGATTTATGATTGTTTAAAACTTAAGTATATAGCATAAAAGATGTTTATTCATAAGCAATCAAAAAATAATTCATCTAAAAATTGTTGTACTAATTTTTGAACAGTCGAGCAAAATCACAATAAATGGTATACGCACACGTTTTTTGCTAAAATTGTTGAAATGTTCTAGTCTTGTTTTATTATTTTTTTAACCCTCAAATATATTGCATAGAAGATGTTTTTGCGTAAGTAATCAAAAATAGTTCATCTAAAAATTGTTTACTAATTTTTCAACAGTCGAGCAAAAAAAAAAAAAATTGCATACTATATAGCACACACGTTTTTTTCTAAAATCGCTGAAATGTTCAAATCTTGTTTTATTAATTTTTAACCATCAAATATATTGCATAGAAGATGTTTTTGCATAAGTAATCAAAAATAGTTCATCAGTTCATCTAAAAATTATTTTACTAATTTTCGAACAGTCAAGCAAAATCACACAAAATTGTATGCTATATAGCACACATTTTTTGGCGAAAATTGCTGAAATGTTCAAATCGTATTTGATTATTTTTAAATAATCAAATATATTGCATAGAAGATGTTTTAGCGCAAGTAATAAAAAATAGTTCTTCAGTTCATCTAAAAATTATTTTACTAATTTTCGAACAGTCAAGCAAAATTACACAAAATTGTATACTATAGCACACACTTTTTTGCTAAAATCGCTGAAATGTTCAAATCTTGTTTTATTATTTTTTAACACTCAAATATATTGCATAGAAGATGTTTTTTCGTAAGTAATGAAAAATAGTTCGTCGAAAAATTATTTTACTAATTTTTGAACAGTCAAGCAAAATCACACAAAATTGTATACATAGCACACGTTTTTTTTGCTAAGATCACAGAAATTTTCAAATCTTGTTTTATTAATTTTTAACCCACAAATATATTGCATAGCAGATGTTTTTGCGTAAGTAGTCAAAAATAGTTCATCTAAACATTTTTTACTAATTTTCGAACAGTCAAGCAAAATCACACAAAATTGTATACTATAGCACACGTTTTTCTGCTAAAATAGCTGAAATTTTCAAATCTTGTTTTATTAATTTTTAACCCTCAAATATATTGCATAGCAGATGTTTTTACGTAAGTAATCAAAAATAGTTCATCTAAACATTTTTTATTAATTTTCGAACCGTCAAGCAAAATCACACAAAATTGCATACTATAGCACACGTTTTTTTGCTTAATTCGCTGAAATGTTCAAATGTTGTTTTATTAATTTTTAACCCTAAAATATATTGCATAGCAGATGTTTTTGAGTAAGTAGTCAAAAATAGTTCATCTAAACATTTTTTACTAATTTTCGAACAGTCAGGCAAAATCACACAAAATTGTATACTTATATAGCACACGTTTTTCTGCTAAAATAGCTGAAATTTTCAAATCTTGTTTTATTAATTTTTAACCCTCAAATATATTGCATAGCAGATGTTTTTACGTAAGTAATCAAAATAGTTCATCTAAACATTTTTTATTAATTTTCGAACCGTCAAGCAAAATCAAACAAAATTGCATACTATATATAGCACACGTTTTTTTGCTTAATTCGCTGAAATGTTCAAATGTTGTTTTATTAATTTTTAACCCTAAAATATATTGCATAGCAGATGTTTTTGAGTAAGTAGTCAAAAATAGTTCATGTAAACATTTTTTACTAATTTTCGAACAGTCAAGCAAAATCGCATAAAATTGTATACTAACACGTTTTTTTTGCTAAAATCGCTGAAATTTTCAAATCTTGTTTTATTAATTTTTAACCCTCAAATATATTGCATAGCAGATGTTTTTGCGTAAGTAGTCAAAAATAGTTCATCTAAACATTTTTTACTAATTTTTTAACAGTCAAGCAAAATCACACAAAATAGTATAGCATACGTTTTTTTGCTAAAATCGCTGAAATTTTCAAATCTTGTTTTATTAATTTTTAACCCTCAAATATGTTGCATAGCAGATGTTTTTGCGTAAGTAGTCAAAAATAGTTCATCTAAACATTTTTTACTAATTTTCGAACAGTCAAGCAAAATCACACAAAATTGTATACTATCACACGTTTTTTGGCTAAAATCGCTGAAATGTTCAAATCTCGTTTTATAATTTTTTAACTCTCAAACATATAGCATAGAAAATGTTAATGCATAGGCAGTCAATAAATAGTTCATCTAAAGAAAGATTGCTAAAAATTATATGTATAAATTATGAGGTAAGAAGAAAACTGTGATAACTTCCTTAATTTATATTGAAGGACTTTGAACAGACGACAACAATTCCTTTCTGATACAAAATTTAGAAACGGCAAGTGTAGTTTTCATGGAAGCTACAAATACGTCTACTGAACTATATATTCCACTAGAAAATTCAAACGAGTAAATGCAAATGCGTAATTTTACTTACCAGTACCACTTGATCCATTAGCAGACTCTTTTATCTCCAAAGACGCTGATGACATACCTGAAAAGTTTCATCTGCCGTCATTTCGAGAGTCTTTATCCTTTCCTTTTTTCTTCTTTATAATATATATGTTATTTACGAAAATATTACGTTCCTACATACCGCTCATTATGACTAGTAGCTACTAGGCATAAAAAAAAATTATTTAGAAGTGTCGAAACCACATCAAAACCATGTTTTATTCAGACATTGTGAAAAAACGGTATCAATCATATTATCATCGATCAAGCTCACAGTTCATGAATAGAAAAAACAAAAAACACAAGAAAGCAGTCGACTATTTTCTTTACATAAAAAAACGGGAAGTTCCATACAGTGGTACCTCCATATTCAGAATCGGAATACAAATGCCATCGCTTTAGCTCGTCTTTTGAATTGAATTTGTAGATATATCTTTCGCTTGGAGGAACCAAGTCTTCGAGGTTCCATGTCAGTGCTGCAATATGGAAAAAAAAAAAAAAAAAAAATTAATTGCAGTTGCAGAAAAACCAACACTTCTAAACAACTTAAATCATTCTAATTCAAACAACTGGAAAAAAAAAAATTACAAGGAAAACGAAGATCAAATTCTGAAATGACCTTTTTTAGTTGCGTCAACGGAAGCTCGCCACAATCCACGAAATCTCGACATGTTATATTATTTATTTTGTTTCCCTGAAACCCTGCGCAATTACGGAAATTTGGGCATAAATACAGACAACACTCATCACTTTCAGCTGAAAAAAAAAAAGAGAGGGGAAAAGGAAATTCACCTGTAATCGAAATGAGGAGGAACGGGAAATCGAATTGATAAATGTTTAATTTCTCTCTCTACAATCTCGATTTTGCGGCATCATCCGCCTGAAGAAGACTTCAAACTGAACTGACAAAAGAGTTCGGAGCGCCTAAACGACGTCGTCTGCAGATAGCAGGAGAGAAGTGCGATTTACAATCGACAAAGTCGTGTTTTGACCTGTAATGGAGCATCTGTTAATAATCAGCGCTTTTTAATAAGCGTTGGTGTCCAGTGGATCAACTGTTAAAAGTCCATTGGATCTTTCGGATTTTGGGCTTATTATTCTCTGTGACTGCGGCCCATTAGTCCATTTGTAACTTGTTTATAATTAATTAATTAATCTTTAGCGTAAATTACACCTACACCCCTGATGTATGCTAAAATAGTTTTAAGGTCCCTGTGGTATCGGTAAATTACAGACACACTCCTTAAACAATTACCGTAGCCAAAATTTCATGTTCTGGCGACCGATATGCACTATATTTGTTTTTCGCAGGGTCTTTAATGCTGCAATAAATGAAAATTTATAAATCGCATGTTAAATAATAAAGATTTAAAAGAAATGTTGTGGTAGTTTTGTCACCCTCATAGCTCTACATTGTCTACACCACTATCAGAAACTAATAGTTCGTTAAAACCGTAGCGGAATAACTTATTCGATTAGGGTTTCTAATAATGTTGAGGGTTGACTGTAATTATTGACAGCACAGGGACCTTAAAGTTATTTTAGCATATATTAAGGGTATATGTGTAATTTACCCCAATATTTAAATGTCTGATGTCTGAGTGTCTAGGAAATGCGTGTCGTTTCTAGACACTTCTTGAAAAAATTCCCATTTTGCCCTTTAAATAGCCGGAGCTTCTCTCCGCAAGCTTGCAATCACCAAATCGACGTTCAGCATTTGATTTTCAACAAAATATACGAGTAGAGAAAAATGAGTATTGTGGTTGAAGCTTTGGGGGAGTTGCTGAATTTCCCGGAAACAATTCTATCCTCTCCGCGCACAAATGATCACGGTAGCCACCTCCACCGCGGCGGCGCCGCCGCCGCCATGCCGGCTGATATTATCGACGCGGCCAAGGAGTACACATTCTACGTTGACGTTCCCGGCCTCTCAAAATCGGATATTCAGGTACAACTAATCGATTAACAAATCTTCAATTAATTAGCTGAATTAACCACTCGATGGAGACTAATTTGGCGGTTTGATTTTGATTTGCAGGTGACGGTGGAAGAGGAGAACACGTTGGTGATAAAGAGCAACGGAAAGAGGAAGCGGGAAGATCGGGAGGAAGAAGGGTGCAAGTACATAAGGCTGGAGAGGCGGCCGCCGCCGCAGAAGCTGACGAGGAAATTCCGCCTGCCGGAGAATTGCAACGTTTCGGCGGTTACCGCAAAATGTGAGAATGGGGTGTTGACGGTGGTGGTGGAGAAGCTTCCGCCGCCGCCTAAGCCGAAGACCGTCCAGGTTACAATATCTTGAAGTGGATGTCCGCCGCTAGTTGTAGCTCTGTTTTTGCTTAATGCATGGTAGATTTTGTTAATTAGTAATCAATGTTTTAAGCTATTTAGATAAAACAGTTCAATCTGTACTAACTCTATGTTGTTATCAATAAATAAAAAATCGAATCTATGTTTTATAAAAAATAATACAATGTCCGGAAAGAAATGGATATATAAAAAAAAAAATATTGCAAAGTTTTCAATACTAATCAACAAGAAATATTTGAATTCTTGTGTAAAAGTCCCACAGCCACACTCATGAAATTTCTACAACATAACTTATCCCCAACAAAAGGGAATAAAAACTAGTTAAACTTTTATCTCATTATCAAAATTCCATAATAATTCAGTGATAATCAATCAAAGGAAAGTTGAAAAAAAATCGGGTGTGTATAAAGAATCTTCGATATAGCTAAGATCTTTTCGCCTTTTTATTCTTCTTCGATTTGCTTTTCTTCTTCTGCGTGGACGAACCAGACTCAGGCTCAGGGGCCACCTCATCCTCGATCAAATGCTCGTATTCTTCAAGGCTTGCAAAAGGAGAAGATCCTGACTTTCGCTTCTTCTTCTTCGTTAGCTCAAAGCTCTCTTCCTCCACCTCCTCGAAGTCACTCCCATCGTCAGCTTCCCCAATAGCAATATCATCGTCGTCACTGTTCTCCGCCGGAATATTGTCATCACTCGAAACATTCTCATCGTCCTCGATATCTTCATCATCAATATCCGAAGGGAAATTCGCTTCTTCATCACCTTCTTCGTCGCTCGCATCACCAATCAAGTCTTCGTCATCCTCGTCAGCAATCTTGTCCAGGTCATCGTAATTGTAATCACCGTCTGCTGCATTGACCGTGTCAAGCATATTGTCGATTTCTTCATCATCACTTCCATCATCTTCATCTTCGCCATTATCAACTGCGTATAACTCTTCAGCAGCTTCTTCATCAACAGTTTTCTTCTTTTTCTTTTTCGGTTTCTTTGAGGAATTCATTTTGTTCGTGTAGAATTTATGGAAAACTACGTCTTCAGGTGCCACATCGGATTCCGCCAGTGACAAGATTTCTGCCCCTATTAGCTGGTAGTTCATATCCATCTGCATGAAAATAAAAAGAAAAAATAAAAAACATGTACATGCAATATAAAACCAAATCAAGAAATTGGTTGTGGACATAAAAAGGAAAAGAAAAGAAAAAAAAAAAAAAAAAAAGGGTAACCTTCTTGGCAGGTTCGATTTGGGAGGCTCCATGCCATGTATTTTGTTTTGGTTTCTTTTCCATTAACTTGTCCAAAAACGCCACAAGTGAAAGATCGTTAAGTGGATTGCCATTATACACAATATTGACCCCAGAAAGAAGGGTATTGGCCATTGCAGCAACTGAAGGATGCACATGTGAGGCAAGTACTGTTAGCTCCCACCAGCCAACCCGCTCTGCATTGCTGTTGCTCGTGAAAATTAACAACCATAATAAATGATTTATAAAACATTTAAAGACGACTAACACGGTTATAAACAAAACAAAACTTCATAAACACGGGCATAGTCCAAATTAACATTCCAGAGAAAAGAAAGAAAAAAAAAAAACACATAACTGATCTCATATATCAACCCCTATGATTTTTGGTAGTGCATTGCTTCAGAAAATACCATGTTACGTAAAGTTCCTAAAACCCAAATGGTACGTCAGATAACATTTGATCACATACTTGATCGAATAAATGTTCAAAGCAACCCCCCATAAAATCTATTCATTAAAAGGTACTCAGTTATCCTATGATATTATCAACAACCTTTGCTTTTCTTTCTTTTTTTTCATTTTAGTTTGTTTAAAAAATTCAGTCAGAAAATACCACTTCATTCTCTCTATATATAATTATATCATCGAAAGTGCTTACGAAGATTGATGTTAAAATATAATCAAGACCATATAAGAAATGCATAAAAATTACCAATAACTAGGCTCCCTTAATCGTGGGTCGTAACCCCCGGGCAATGTTACGCTTTGAGAACTCTGCACTTTGTTGCCAGAAGTTGACTTAGGTCCCTCAAGTTTATTGTCGAAATCACCTTCTCCAAGTAAATCATCTTCTTCATTAAGACTGTAATCTTCAAAACCAGAAGTTGCAGCACCGTTTTCATCGAGTGATGAATCGCTATCATCATCGTATACATTGCTGATGTCAGCATTATGACCTTTATTGACTTTGTCATCAGATGCAGGAAAAGTCCGATTGTCGTCGTCTTCTTTGACATCTTCAAAGTGCTCAAGATCATCATCAGCATCAGCAGTCTCATTTTGAAGCACCATATTCCTACGTGATAAAAAAAGTTCCAGTTTCAACCACGGAGAGATTTTTTTTCATTTTTATAAAACTGAAAAAAATATTTTTCTTGGAGAAACTAGCCCTACCAAAGAGGAGGGCGTGCTTTAAGGACTTCGGAGAGCATGAAAAGGCATGCACAGGCATATTGAGGCGGCAACTGTAGGGCAACCTGTTCGGTAAAAGAGGAGTCCATCAATAGAGTATAACAATATAGCAGCGTCGGATATAGTCTAAATCTTGCATAATAACTGAAAATGCAAAACAAAATAAATGGGAAAAGGACAAAATAAATTTTAAAATGCAAACCTGCAACAGACGCTTTGAGAATGCAGCAATTCGCTTTATATTGATATCATTCTTCATTGCCCTCAAGACGAGTGCAATAAACATTTCCTCCTATAAAAATTAAACAGAACATGATCAAACACTTGAAATTCGTCTAGGAAGGGAAAGAAGATTAGAAATAGGTGATGCAACTAAGAAATAAAAGAGAACACAAAAAGATTCTAACAAATCTATCGAAATAGCAAACTTTTCAGTTCAATTAACATAGTTACCAAGCATATATTCCTTACACCAGGTAGAAATAAAATATATCCAGAGATAATGTTGCTGACCTTAGAAGAATTCATTGCAGCAGGGAGCAGGAGTTTTGCATACAAGGCCCGATAAAAACGGTCGCTGACAATTTGATTTTTAGATGAGATTTTGTCGAGAAGCATTAACGCTTGAACTCCAACATTGAAGTTCTTTGAATGAACCTGATCATCAAAGCACATAATCTCTAACATAAGATATCAAAATCCATGTAACAATAAAAGAAAGTTATGGGCATCAAAGGCACTACCAGCTGAAACAGCAAAGGAGTCTGAACCTCTACTACATCATCAGCTTCTTCACTAGACACAAATGGAAAAACTCTATTAACACCCTGCACCAAGAGACGGAAATGTTAATTAATTATGCCGGGAAGTCTTTCTGATACTAAATATACTGAGAATCCTAGTTATTATATAACATTAGTACAAAGAAAGGTCATTAGAGGCAAGAAATCAGAATACTTGGAAACTAAAAGCAAAAACTACTTACTTCTACATTCACACACAAAAAAAAAAAGAGAAAGAGTTAAGAAAGGATGAGTGCCTACAAAGTGCTTTCGCACAATTTGAGGTCCGCCCAAAGTAAATTAAATTCCACATGACAAAACTGAATTAGTTAAAAGAGTAGCTTGCATAGCATCTAACTGTGGTGTTTGATCCAGTTAGCTTGGTGCTTATTATCAAGATGACATATAAGCCAAGAATTAGAAAAATACACAAGTAAAGTTTCATGATGAGAGAAAATTGTTTCAAGCTTTTGAGGGAGATGAAAAAAAAAAATACCAGTATTTAGACAAGATAGTGTGAATGGAAGATTATGATCATAGTGAATTATCCGACATGTCAACTCTGTGGCATATATTAAGGAACAAAAAGTAGATAGTTTGTACTTACAGTTAGAAGAGCTGATAACAGCCGTGAATCCATTTCAATGTGTGAGTCCGCTGGGGCTTTCTCTTTATCTTCTTTCGAAGAACTAGAAGCTTTTTTATTATACTTTCCAGCAGATTGTGCTGCTCCAGCCTCTGATATCAAAAGCTGGAGAAGTAAAAAAAATATGGAAATTCAATGGAACTTTCAGAATCAGCCCAAGATAATAATTGGTTAGATGGGTAACATGAATGCAAAATTTGAAAGCTTAAGACTCTACCTTGAAGAGAGCAAAATAAATATCAATCAACCGTTTTGCAGCTTTAGGTCCATCTCCTTTGTGACTCAAACGAATTTGACTCAAAAAGTTTACCTGTACATCATAGGCATCCATAGGTATAAGTGTGACGGTACATGGAATGAAAAATAACCAAGCTAAAAAAATCAACGGTCATTAATTCCTTATGTTTTCAAATTACAAATGAGCAATTTTAACAGTGAATGAGGTGTATCTACTTTCTTTTCTTTCTTCTCATATCTCTCTTGCTTCATTTCTTTTAGTCATTTCAAAGTGACTTGATTATAAATTTTCCACTATCGTAGTTTTTATAGAAAGCTAGCTTGAATCAACTAGTCACAAACCCGGTATTAATAATATAAAATAAGTATAGATCAAAAAAATCTAAAATGTATCAAATTGATCAGCTGTAAACAACATATAGGATGTTGTGGTAAACCAGCACAATATAATCCAACCTTTCAAAGATCAGAATAGGTCAACCAGGGTATTACGTAAAGTAAAAGGAGGGTAAAAATGGATGTGAACATACAGCATGATACTTGGCTCGTAATCCAAGACGAGGTCGAAAAAGGAAATTATCCACTTCATCAATCACCACTGTCTGAAAAAAAGATAAGAGGACATATCTATATTAATTTTTCATTGCAAATTGAAAATGACATGAATAAGCATA